GGAAAATATACGAGCATAATGTGTTATATTATAAGTAATTGAACACAAAATATCCACGATTTTTACAAATTTTATCTTAAATTGGAACGTTCAAACGCTAATCGACAAAAAAATAAAAAAACAAAACCACGCAGACTAAAAATGTTCGATAGTTTTGCATTATACTCTTGAGAGCAAATTACGATCGGAGAACCTATTATTTTGTTCATGCACTTATCGAGACGTATAATTTAAATCCGTTAAACACATTCCCCGTTTCCCTCAGAGTATATTAAAGAAAAAAAGAAAAACAAAAGCCAAAATAGGAGAGCGACTCGTTTTATTTATTGTACTCTTCGGGCCGCGAAACAGACTCGGACCTTTAAAATCGAGTCGGCGCGTACGAAATAAAATATACCTAACGGCCGATTTTCCATCCCTACCGCAGCAACAATTATCGCCGCCGTCGTCCCGAAAATACTCGGCGATTCGGCGGGAAAGTGCTAAATAGCTGCCGCATCACAAAACTGAAAACTCGTATAAACAACGCGTATAAAACATCTGTTCCTAGTTAAGTGCTATTTGTTTTTTCTACTGTGTGTTTTCAACGGTCCCATTCTTATATATATATATATATATTGTACCCGTATAACGGAATCCAAACATCGGATACGCGGCCAAGAGACACGTGCTCAGATTTATTTAGCGAACCACTTTAAAGATGTCCGTCCGTTCGTTCGTCGCGTTTTAAAAATATTTTTTAAATTCTCACCATATCAAAATAATACGCCCTGCTTGTTCCCTTATATAGAATGTGTTGTATATACACACGTGCTGTTTCTCGTATAGTGTCCGGGTTTTCTCTTTCTTCATATTTCAATTATTTATTTTTTTTTAAATCATCATCCGTGCACCACACGTAAACAAACCGTTTTTTTTTTTTTATATAGCATTTAAACTGTTTTTACCCCTTCCCCCAAATCGGCACACAATAAACTATAAATAGAGCTGTAAATTTGTAAGAAAATGCATTTTTTTTTTAGCTGATTGTAAAATGTAGCTTTTTAAGTGCATAATTTGAATTATGTTACAACAAATTAATTTTCTGAGACTTTCTTTTAAATTTTTTGACATTTTTAAAGTCATTTTTTGGTTTTTTTAGGTAATATTTTATTCTTTAGTTAATTTTTCGATATGTTTAATCAAATTCCATCAGTTAACAACTTTAAACACATATTTTTTTGTTTTACACAGCCTGTATATACGTCAAATATATATTTTATACTATAATATTTTACACAAGCTGTTAATGTTCGATAAGGATTGGATAAAATAAAACAATATTGAAGAAATCGACTTATTCAACATTCCAATTTGATCAAAATGTTTATAATTTTTGTATTAAATAAAACATTTTTTTGTATACAATATACTTATATCAATAATGTCAAAATAAATATAAAACTGAAATTAAAACTATTTTATACTGTATTTTTTGTGCATTTTTGATTTTTAAGGTTTTTCACTGCATCAAATTCACAATCCTAATTATAAATATAAATACTATCGTTAGAATTATCGGTATCTGCACACGCGCCACTGCTTTGACTTTGTATAGGTATTAGGTATACTTTGTATAGGTATCTTTTTGGTCCTTCGGAGTGTAACTGATGGGATACCGCGGGTGACACTCGTTATATTAAAGATCATCGATGTTTTGACAGGTTTCATATTATTGTACTATTGAACGAAGTCGATTTTGAAGTAGCTCATACAAGCGGTAAATCTATAATTAAAATCAGCGTTAAATGCATTTGTTTCAGGTTTTCAAAAAAGCCTAACTTATTACCTAGTATTATAATAATAATAATATCCGTCAGTCCGTAGTAACCAAAACATAATTACGGTTGTTGATTTGGTTGACAAAGAGATTATATTACTGCTACTTCAAAAATAATTGATTATTATTTATTTAATTTTATATAGTAAATTAAACGCCAAAACTGGGTGACTTTAATCTAAGGGAAATGGTTAAATGGCCTCGAACTAAGCAGCATTGCGTAAATGCAAAGCACGGTGGAGGGGATTGATGAACTTATAAGAGGTGTAGTGGAATAGGGAGTGTGTCCTGATAGAGTAGGAGGAGATCCGGAAAAAGATGGGTGATAATAGATCTAGAGCAGCGGTTCCAAACCCAGGGATAATTACCCCCAAGTGGTAAAACACGAAGGGTAAAAACTACCTAATCTAATTAATTTTAAATTCTGAGCGTAGGGAGGGAGCTATTGGTTTTACAATGCTGTTTGTTTTTTTTTTCTTTATTTTTTTAGACTGTGGGTAAATTTTTTCCATGTAAACTTGTTCTAATATATAAGTGTAGCACTTTTTCTAAAAGCTCATGTTATCTAGATTGTACATTAAAAATTTCATTTTTTTGATTTTCGGCGCCGCTTTTTAAATAAAAGCATATAAGTGAGAAAGAACTTAGGAAAACTTACAATTTCATGATATCATTACTTTATAAAAACTTAGACGACGTTTTCTACCAGAAAAAATGATTTAAACGTAAAATCATAAAACATTTATTTTGTTGCTTTTTTTTGATTTACTTTCTTATTGTATCATTGCCAAAACTTTAGGCCACTTTTTAGCTTTTAAGGAATTTTCATTTTTAGCAGTTTTTTGCTGCAATTCGGTTATAAATATACGCAGAGACTTGGAACTTGGAAATAAAACTTATATTGGACTTACCTGCAAGTGGTAAAATTTCCAACATCATCGGACGACTTTTTTTTATTTATTTATTTTTTTTTCAATGGTACTTTATTTATTTATTTTTTTATACTGTAAAACAACTTTTATGACTTTTACTGACAACTTTTATCTTAGAAAACTTGCTTGGATATATAAGTGTAGCATATTTTCTGTGAGTCAATTTTATCTACTTGGTAAATACATAGGTCAATTTTTGATTTTCAAAACGGTATTTAAAATAAAACGAATAACCTGGGAAAAAATACGATTTTTTCACAAATTCGTTATTTTAAATAAGTACCTACCATGTTTTCTAGCACATATACGGCTCCAATTTAAAGATAACAAGAGACCATATTTTTGTTGATTTTTTTTTTTTGTAAGCGTTTTGAAGTCAAATTTAAATGAAAATCCAAAAAAAATTATGGCACTTCAAATTATGAATTTCCAAACTGCTCTCGGAATCGTCTTTTTTCAGCAATGGTTTATTGTTGCTTACAGATATAAATTAAATAATCTTTATGTCCTACCTAAAACAGTGGCTGCACCCTTCCTCAGTATTAGCTATTTTTTTTTATTTTATGCACTTTATACGTATTATTATTAACTCTGCATCAAGTCATGTATAAGCTATGATTGTAATTATTTTTTTTTTTTTACTTTTTTGGGAGGGGAGGTTGGAGGAGTATTTGTATATGTATTATCTGATTTATGGGTAATAGTCTCAAAAAGGTTGGGAACCGCTGATCTAGAGCGTCTATGAACCACCGTCAAGAATACCACCGAAGGAAATATTATTTTTAGTTTAATTATAAATTCGTCGTATCATTATCATTATTCATTTAAATATACATCCATAAAAGCCAATATTTAAAAAATAAAATATTAATTAATAATTATAAGTAGTACTTTAATTTTAAAAAAAATCTGTCGCCTATTTACAAATTAAGATTTTTTAATTTATTTTAGTTTCAACACATAAGTATAATATACTATGTTATCAAACTCTTTCAAAATTGTATATATATAAGTATAGTTTACTGAGCTTGCTCGCAGAGTTTTGGCTTTCCTAACTTGTTTAAAATTATTGTCATAGGCAATATAGATATATAGTTATTATCACAGATTTTTGATACCCACACCCTGCTTGAATATATACTGTACTCGGTTTATACTGTTGTTTTCCATCAGATGATAAAAGGTTAATTATTTGCAAAAACCGACCATGTAAGTTGTAGAGATCTACAATACTGGGAGATGTGTGGGTATTAAATTCACATATTAGGTATATTAAAAGGAAAACGCGACACTGTGATAATACCTACCTGCCTAATTTGTCATGGTGGTCATCGTATATGATTTGTTACCAATGATTGATTTTTGGCTCTGTGATTAGGTTTACCTAATAGGTTTATATAAAGATTTGTTACTGAATTTTTTACAGAGGAACCCAAAATATTTGTTTATTTTATCCATAGTATAAATATATGTGTTTCTCTTTTAATACATCCACATTAGTTGAAACATATATTGTAAATATTGTTTTTATATAAAAAAAATTTTCTATTTTACATAGTTTTCTAGTAATTTATTATTGTTTCTTTTTGTTTTTATTACATTTACAAAACTTTCACGTTCTAATAGTTTTTCGGACGTTATTTTATTGTTATTATTATAATATTCAATACTGAATAAACATTATAATTTTATATATTAAAGTGAATATTATTGAAGTTCATTACCACATTGAAAACGTTCCTCTGAATATCATAAATTTTAAGAAATGCACGATGTTATGATATCCGAGAAAATACTTCAACTATTACAATTAAATTCTTTAAATTTTCCAAAAAATCACCGAGAAATAATATGTTTTTAACTGAATATCGATATTGGTGTTCTAATTTAATAAAAGAGAATCAAATTTGTTAACATTTTGAAGTACATATACGGCATATAATATTCCTTTTACATTATGTACCTGAATTTTAAAATAAGAAAAAAAAATAATTTCAAAACAGAATAACAAACGTATATCACGCTAATAGTTTATAACATAATAATTATTATGGACAAATCAGTAAAGCGTATTTATAATGCGATCGATTTGTTTACGTATACTCACGGGACGAGAAACCGGCGAACCACTTGTACCTACCTACTATGACTTACTGCCGCTGATTTATTTGAAAAACCTAAATATTTTTTTGTTCGGACTGTTGTAATTTTTGGCGGCAAACCTAAATTGCGTTTTGCTGGGTATTCCGATGATCAATAGAGCCCCTGAGTCGGCCTTTGCGTTCCAAAATCCTCGCCAAGTTTCAGGTCACGTATATCCGATAAGAAAAACACGCGCGAAACGTTTCGTACCTACTGCTCGAAACAATGCACGGAAATTTCACTGGGAATTGTTCAATACCACCGCCGTGTAAATAAATTCCCCGTCTCCCATAAATATCATATCTGAGTGCCTTAGAACTTTGATCCTCTCAATCCTGGTGAGGGGTATGGCCGGTGTACGAGATCGGAAAACTTATCGTATGTGTGTTTTTTGTTTATTATAGCCGGAAGACGAAGACAGCGAACTGACAAATTCCGAAGATCTCGGCTACACGGATGGACCACCTACACCTCCACCACCACCGCCGTTCAACGGTAAGTTTTTTTTAAAATTATAATTAATTTTAGATTCAGCGTGTAGCCAGAAATGTATTGGTTTTACAATAATTTTTTTTTTTATCTTTAAGCAACTTTTCTACCTAAAATCTTGCTCTGATGTATCAAGTGTATATCATCTTATCTGAAAGGAAAATTTTATTTTGTTGATACTTTAAAGAAGTCATTTTTTCTAAATGGTTTTTTTTAATAATTGAGAAAAACGTATGAAACATGAGAAAATTTACGTACATGTATAAAATAAACTTCGCCTCAAATCGTTTATCGTTAGCAGTGGTTTTTATGCTTAATTTTCAGTAATTTTTACATTTTTAATTTTGAGAGTTGTTTGTTAAACAATATTGTTGTAGTATAGTATAGTTTTGTTCTGTTATACGTATAAACCAGTATTCGATTATTTATTTATTGTTTTACAAAGAATATTTCTATAATAATGTACATAAAATAGATGGGTGAGAGAGTTTCTGATAGGTGTTTTTTTTTTATCACTTCCTCGGTATAAGTAAACTTTTTAACCCGAAAACATATATTATATAAGGTATTTCAGAAATCCGTACGAATTTAAAAACGCGATAAAAGTTTCAAATTGTATTAAAAATTTAAAAAAATTTCACACGCAGCTCAGAAATTCCCAGCAATTTTAAAATCGTGCAGATTCATGAAACGCACTGTACATTCAACATGAATAAAATCGTATTTGGGAAATGAGTAGGTATACAGTTTAACAAAAACTACGTACAATTATTATTATTAGTGTAAAAGTTTCGCGAAACGCTCCGACATTTTATTTTCAAAGGATTTAAAACTACTGAAACATCGCCGACCGCGTGTAATGGCTTATAAAAACAACAGAGATAGTTGTTTATGCCGTGGTTACTATACAGCCATCGCGTAAAGTTGTTTCCGCTTCTCACACCGTACCGAAATACGTTGCAACGCCCACATTGTTATTATTAAAAGGCTGCTCTTATATCACATGTCCGCCGATACTGGCAACGCGTGTTTATATACAAATTATAATTTATTTTTCTCGGGCATCCGTCGTGTAAATTCGTCGATGGTATATGAAGAATCTGCAGGCAGGCGAGGATCCAGAGCAAAGATTTGAGGAGGGGGACCCAACAATTTTTTTTTTACAACACCTATACAACTACCAAAAAAAATAGTATAAAAAAGGCGGACATAGTTCGCATGTGGGTGCAGCCAATGTTGTAGATGAAAAGCTGAGAAGGTAGAATACAAAAGGGAATTTGATGTATATTTGTAAGCAACGATAAACCATTCATTATAAAAATATTATTCTGAGTGGATTTTAGTTTATAGTGATGTTTTTTCAACATTATATATGTCATATTATAGCAAAATAATTAAATAGTTATTGTATATTTTCTTTAATTTGTTTAATATTGTACTGATATTCCCGCTTTTTCTCTGTTTTTTCCCAGCTTTTCCCATTTGTTAAGAAAACTCCTGGGAAAATCGAAAAGTGACTTCCCTAAAGTACCTCCCCCTAGTAAAAATTTACTTTTAGAAAATGTGCTATCATTGTAAATTAGAGCACAATTTCCGGTAAAAAAGTTGTTCACAAGAAAAAAAAGGCTGTAATATTTTTAAATAATACCTACACTTCGCACATTTTCCCGTTTCTCCTTAGTTGTTTCTCAGTTTTTTTTATTTTTTGAAAAAATCGAAAAATGACCTCTTTAAAAAAAATGTATTAAAATCGAAATTTATATTATTTTAATATAGCTCGGTTTATAGAATTGCTCGTTCGACAATATGCGTTTCCTTGACAACAATTATTGTTTTAAAATACTAGTTTATTAAAATAATTAAAACTTAATAATAACAAAAAAAGAATAAAAACGGTTATTAATTAAAAACTTATTTTCAATCTTTTTTTAACCTAAAGAACCAGGATTTTCTCATTATATCGTAATTATTTACATTATTTACATTTACATTATACTGTACTATACATTATACATTATAATGTAAATGAGAATTTCAAAAAATGACCTCCTTAACGTACCACCCAGAGAACAATTTATTTCAAAAAAGATGCTATACTTGATAATCGGATTAAGCTTTCTGGTAGAAAAAGTGTTCACATAAAAAAATAAATACAAAAATAAACATCATTGTAAAATGAATACATTCCGCTTTCCGCTCAGAATCTAAAATATATATTGTATATGTATATATTTATATTATTTAGATAATTAACTTTTAGTTTTAGTACTGTTAAACGAATCATGTTAAACATTAACTCATTGAACTTTTATTAATTATATTTACATATGAGAAATAAAATAAGTTTTTTTAGTTAAAAAATATTACAAGTATTATATAGTAAAAGTCATTGTGGAAAATAAAACAAACAGTATACAATAATTTAATTCAAATCAACATAATAATAAAAATCCGACACAAAAACATAAATCAACCAATAAATCTGATGAATTAACGATGAACACATTTAACATTCTATTGTATTTTTATTAACGTAAAAAAGAAAAATATTTTTCGGCTTTTCAAATAGGTACTTGAATACAAGTCGTAGAAAATGTTTAAACCGATGTGAAAATAAATTCTCGAACAAAAAAGATACACAAATATAATGTAATCATATAATATAATATACACAAAAAACGCAAAACAAAAACAATCGAACAATCGCTGTTAAATACGAATCACAATAGAATGAAAATAATATTCAATACATTGTTCTAAAATTCATCTTCGATCGAATTATTTAAAAGTATTGTCAAAGTCAATAAAAGTTTAGGCAATGTTTTGCGGTTTTATCTTTTGATCACATTTTATTAAAACAAAATAATATTCGGGATTTTATTCAGTGTTGCAAAATCTGAATAATGATCGAAATTTGGAAGTACGTACTTTCCCCGTGGACACTTTAAATACGATGGGAACATTATTATTTTCGTAAAATTTGTGTAACCTGAATGTGTAAAGGCAAAGACGTTAGGGACCAGTCGTCTTGTTTTACACAGTTTATTTCGATAAGAGCTCGGTATTGGTTTTGTTTCGAAAATATAAAAAGGAAAATGTTTTAGAAAATGCCGGTTGCTATTTTATATAGATTAAGCAAAATACAAGCAATTTCGAAATTTATTGATTTTTTAATAGTTATAAATAAATTCAAAACTACGAATAATATCGTGGCATAATGTTTACCTTTTGACAAATACTTGATTTAAAAATTAAAAAAAAAAAAAACGTCTACTTGAAGTTACGTAAAGAATTGCACGGTATGTGTAATATTGGGTTAAATAAATATCTACTATATTTGTTGGGCTCACAACTCAGAAAGATAATAATAAATTAGCTGTCGAGCAGAGATAAACCAAATAGTATACTAACTGATATCCATAGCAAGAGACTGGGTTGGTGTGGTCACGATTGATAAAAACAAAATTAGAACAATTCACTATAAATGGACGATTTTAGTGAAAAACAGATCACGTGGTCAAGACAGAGAGAAATGTAAGCGAGTTTGTTTTGCGGCAGTAGGTCTCAATGGCGTCTAAAGCTGTTCCAAGAAGGCGAAGAAAAATAATATAATATTTACTATTGGCTCATACGAATACGATTGTATTTGTTTACCGACTTCGGCATTTTCTGTTTTGCAGCAGTTTATGATATCCAATAACTTAGAGTGCACAATCACACTTATAATATATTGTATATATATATATTGCTAGGAATATCAACTGTATACATAGTTCTTAAGTAGGTTTATCATAGTCGTAATTGTAAGAGCATTTTAATTAAATTGAACGCGGTCAAGACGTACCTATATATCGTACTATGCAGTCTATCGCGATTGACTTGCAGTGTTCCGATACACAAACAATCGTTTTTGAAATAATATTCGGTTGCGTTCAAAATTATCATAATGTGTAGTATAAAATTCGAGCTATAATTGCATATTTGTGTTTTTATCTCAAAACCTGGCTGTAAGATTTAACCGAAAATTGACATTTAATGATTCTTAAGCATATGGAATCCATTGGTCCGGGTGTCTTTTTCGGATAGAAAATTCGGTCAAGGGGCTAAACAGAGTGCCAAAATTACGCGTCTGCGTGTACCATCAGTAACATTCGGATAATCGTCACGCAGCAACATTAATTTAGTATTTATCTGCGTCGATGACACCGTTGTCAACGGATTAATATTATCTATGTCGGTAAAATATTTGTTAATTCGTCTTTACTGTTTGAAAAATGTTCATATTTTTTATTATTCTAGTGAAATCATAAAACTGTAATCACTGTAATCACTGTGTATTTTTACAATAGGTATTAAAAATTTGACAATATGACGTCATTTTTTAATTTTAAATCCCGACGAAGAGACACTTTACTATTTGCTACAGGTTCATTATTTGTAATATCTGAAGATTATAAATAACTTCACGGATTAAATCATTTAGTTTTCGGTGCTTTTAGTAAATGTATTCTTCGGATATTATTAGTAGAAGTACAAACCAGTATGAGAAAATAAATTCGCGTACATATTTAATCAACTGACAAAACTGCACCCGAACAAAGTTCAGTCTTCAATTACTGAGAATTACGGTTTTTTCACAGACCGGGCCGGACCAACGAAGAGAAACTAAATCGGGATCGGGGCCATGTATACAAACGTATAACTCTGGACTTATGGTATTTTTTATTTAAATAACGTTTACAATCAAAAATCTTATATTTTTTATCTTATAATTGTATTGAAATTTTCGATTTCTGTCAAGCCGCTGACGAGATATAACACTTTCAATTTTAGGTTGGAAGAGAGAAGTGGTACATTATTAACACGCTGCGCCATACCATCACACTAATGATACTCCACTACTCTTCTCCAACATAAAATTAAAAGTAGTGTCAACGGCTTGACAGAAATCGAAAATTTCAACACTAAAATTTATTTTAACTAATACTATCTATTTATGGACTTTTTAATATAGATTGCCATTTGAAAATAAAAAGTAGGTAGTTGTTTAACCCTTGAAAATAAGGATGGCAAAAAATAACACAAATATAAAATTGTGAAGCAGCTTGTTTCTTAAGTGTTATAGAAAACCAATTCCGGAAAAAGTTAATATTTTCCGAGATAATGATTGTGTCCACTCAAATGAATCACCTGGTATTATGCTACAATATTAGACGGTATTACGAATGTGTAGAGAATAACGCAAAATCGGTCCAATAAACAAATATTTAGAAACAAACATTTATTTTTTAACGTTTCATACCTCTTAACCCCTAATACCCATAACGCGTGCAATAACCTTGTACCTTATATGCTTTTATAATATTATATTATAGTTTATTGATCACCGGAACAAAATTAAAATGCGCTTGGCTCAAGCGTTCGGCAATATTATATTAAGAATGACGTATACATAATAACCGGGATTTGATATATTTCGCCGGTGTATTTATAGGCGAGAGGTCGGATGGGGATCGGCTGCTTATAAGAGTATAATAATATTATTATATCAGCGAATATTATTATCTACGTACCTGCGGATCGTTTCGTATGTTCGCGCTATGTTATATTTTATGGGCAAGGGTCCGATGACGACGACACATTATATAGATGCGTATTCGGTCCCCGACATTTTATTTTACGTTCCTTGAAAAAAGTCTGTACCCGTCGGCTACGCCCGATTTTATCTTATTATAAAAAAAAAAAACTACAGGTAAGATTAAGAAACGGGGAACATTATACGAGTAATAACGTTGAATAAATTACATACAGACATCAGTAGACAAAGAAAATGTGTACGGTGATTTTTTTTTTTTTTTTACAAGATATATGTATCTATAATCTTTTTGTATATACGAATAAATTGGGTAAAGACTGTAAGCTGCAGATTTTAACATATCTGTTACGAAATGATTCCGCAAAGTTGTATTATTTTCTATTGTAACTACGAGTGCTAATAAAATCAGTTATGGGTTTTAAAAATGACAAGAAAACTACTATTATTATTATTTACACTATTATCTAGCAATAGAAAAGCATTGCAAGGTCGGCTAGTAATATGTATATTTTTTTATTATATATTATAATTAACTAAAACATATATAATATATCAATTATAATTTCCTCCGAGTTTTGGTTTCACCTAGACTTAAAGGTAAGTTCTACAAGAGAGTGATGAGACCGATTATGTTACATGGATCGGAGTGTTAGGTGGTAGACAAAAAAACATAACAGAGATGATGCTTAGGTAGATGAGTGAAGTGACGAGAGAAAGATAATAAGGAATGAATACATAAGTGGTATATTAGACGTGGCTTCGATAATAGAAGAAATTTAAAAAAAAAATAGATTGAGATGGTTTAGGCATGTTATGAGGAGAAATAAATCAGAAGCAGTAAGAATTTCATTGAAACAGGAAAAAGAGGTGGTTGGATACGATTGAAAATGATGCAAGGACAGCTGGTGTATGCGAGGTTGGAGATCGTATCAAATTGAAGTTTAAGACACGGGTGGTTGGGCGTCGTTCAAAACCGCACACTTACCGTTCATAACCGCACATATTTTATTTATTGTCAAAAATGAAAATTTGGAAGGTCGATAGTTCAAAACCGCACACATTTGGTTGGCAGTGAGAAGCATTATGGGTGAAATTAAATACCCAATGTGGTCACAGGCTCACTGCGCTCACTCAGACAATTTTAGTCGAAAATAACCCTCGATTTATTGGGCAAAACCACGTTCGATAGGACACAAACTAAAATATGTGCGATATTGAACGGTATCATTTTTGGAAAACTATATGTACAAGTGTGCGGTTTTGAATGAAGACCATCTTAAAAGTATGTGGTTATGACGACCGCCAGCATAGTAGACTCCAAATAGTTAGGATAAAGGCTAAGGAAAAGAAGTAGACTTTTTTTATTATATTTTGTCAATTGATATTATAACTTTTGAATTCTGAGCACAACAAGGAATGTATTGGTTTTATGTCCTATATATGCATGCTTGTGTATATGTGTAGTGTGTAATTGTCAACAACTTTTCTACTAAAAATCAAGATTTTCTAGCATAGCACTTTTTTTGAAAGTGAATTTTATCTCAATGGTGCATTTTTTTAATAATTGGAAAAATTTAAGGAAAAAAATTAAAAAACAAGAATCGTTTCTGGAAATAAATAATTTCATTATTTCTTTTTTTTATAATTTAGTTTAAAATTACCTGAATATTTTTCAGCTATTTATAGGCATTTTAGTTTTTTTTTTAGTTTTTTTCTGGTTGTATTTGTATAAAATTATTTTGACTGGAAAAAAATGCTTGTCAAGTTTACACATGATACATCGTAAGTTGTATTCTATAATAAAAAAAAGTTAAATGTACTAAAGTAGGATTTTTATGAGCTTTTTACGTTCAACTTTTGACAAAAATCATAAAAACCATGGCATTTCAAAACTAGTTAAATCAATTTTCTTTCAGAACCGTATTTCGTTAGCAAAATTGCATTGTTGTGTATAGATATAAATTGAATATATGTATCCAAACTTCCCAACCACTATATTTTAAAATAATCATATAGACAATTTTTAAATAAGATCGTATTCTTTAATTCTATATTAGTCGTTAAAAAAAAAAATGGTAACGTTTAAATCGAATTAGTAAACAACATTCAATAGAGATCACCTCCTATTCCTTATTATTTATTTTTAGTTTTTATAGTTAAAAAAAAAATTGTTTAAAAACCATAAGTGAATTAGATACTTATTTTTTCTTGAGTAACAAAAAAAAAAACGTCGACACGTAATCCGTTATTCAACGCATATTATAGTGATTGATTGATATTCAAATATAATATGCCTGGTGGATCTTTTATTAAGATTTCTTTTCCGAAAGATTTTATACTAAGCTTATAATGTACATAGATAAAAATGATGAAGGCTAATACTGTTGATGGGTATTCCACTGTTTTAAATGAAAAATTGGAAGGGAGAATATATTTATAATTTAATTTATATCCATATACGTAACGATAAAACATTGCTTACGAAAAACGATTCTAAGCGAAATATCAGAAGTTGTATTTTTCCCTTGTTTCTAGGGTAACTCAAAAATCAATAAATTGTATTTAACAAATTTGCAGTTTCCTTAATTATTAAAAAACTACAAGGAAAATTGAAAACCGGACATACAATGTCCAATTTGATTGGAATATGATTTCTAGTTGAGTAGTTGTTTAAATTAATTGAAGCTTTTTCTCCTTTATTATTAATATTATTAATTTGTGTTCGAACACTTATTTTTGGGAAATATTGTTCGTGATTAAAAGTCTAAAGTATAATAACGAAATATTATGTTAAAAAATCATTCTTCTATTCACGAAAAAAATGGTTTTTTCATTAGATATTTCTCGATTATTAACCAACATATAAAAAAAATATACTTATTCCATAATATCATTCAAACAAGCACAATATTTATTAGTTGTATGCATTTTAACTCTACTGTTTTTGTTATACTGAACAAATATAATATGTGTAACGGAATAAATTTTAATATTGGTACGAAATATTTTCTGTTATACAAGAAAATGCATTGCTATTTGATCTAAATTAAATTAAAATTTTTGTTGGCTTATCATTAATCTTGTTAGTCGGTATTGTTCTTGAAAAATGAATCATCTATTGAATATTAAATAAGTAATTTAGGTCGAATCTGTGTATACGAAATTTATATTAAACTAATAGTATACAGTCGGTAAGTGATTACGTGTAAAAAAATGTTATTCTTCAATCGAACGATATAGATTATAGATTGTAATGATTGAAGCCGTACATAATTCACGTCATGGTTGGGCAATTGTTGTAGATAGGAGTTGGAGATATATCGGCTATAAGAAAATTTAGTTTAATTTCTGAAAGTGATTGGAAATTATCGTAATCAAAAAACGATTTTTAAACGAAGCTTGGTAAACTGATAAAAGGTATAGTAGTATTAGTCGTGTTCTTTTGTTATCCTTTTTTCTAACAAGAAAATAGAAACTATTACACAGTGTTATGTCTGTTAAATTTATTACACATGCATAATTTATCACAAATTAATGTATACAGAATACAGAACGATAGCTTATCAATTGATAACAATAGTTTCTCGCATTTCTGTTATGGTCATAATAAATTCCGAATGCTTAATAGTGACCAGAGTAGATTCTAGTTACGGAGCTCTGCTGTTCATGGGCGTTTCCATTGTAACTAATGTAATTTAAAAAAAAAAAAAACTAAAAGTAAATATAATGTACCGTCATATTTGTCGTCGATTTTTTTAATTTCTAAGAAAAACGGTACAGGAATCTAGACAACCTTTTTAAATAAAATACCACAGGCTGAAAAATTCGTTATTTTTAAGGTATGCAAAATTCGGACCGTTTTTACCATCCGAAAAATATTTTCCAAGAATAAAATAAGTACTTCACTACATTCAGAATCGTATATAACTTAACCTTATAATCTGACCTTAATTTTCATGAATAACTAGTTATAAAATTAAATTAAGTACCTCGTACCTATCATGTATTATTGACTTAGATGGTCTACAATTATAACGATTTACCCTGGTTTTATACATATGAGATTCAATTTCTATTTAAGAGTCTTAGACCAATAGAGAATCTGCAGTTTGGGAACAATTTGTGTTTGATTATGTATATATTTTTACCGCAATTTCCATAAATTCTGCGTTAACGATACCTTTAAACTTATAGTATTATAAGATATAAGTTGTATATAGGTTAAACTAGCGAACCAACAATAATAGTATGGGTCTATAAACGTGTTGTTTAATATTATGCTTCGGCCGTAAAATGTGAACATAGTACCTACCTACCTATAACATATATAGTGGTGTATCGTCTATTAATAATTTCGTACAGCATGTTTAATACTTACCTTATACATTATAATTATTGTATTTTAGTGTAAAATTTAACCTCGACGTCTAAGTTATTGGTGAGGTATTATAGAGATATTATGTATAGTTACACAGTTACATTATGCAATTATTACGAGGGACATAGTTTATAATAGTCACTAACCCACATTTTAGTAAAATCTTCCGTATTGTAATATTATGCAATATCGAGTACTCTGGATCCAATTTCACAAATCAATTTTATATTTTTGTATAGATTGTTTGTGCTCGGGAATAAATATCGTTTACAGGACTGTATTTTAGATTCAGATCATAGCGAGCTATTGATTTTACTAAGATGTTTATTTCTTTTTTTTCTAGAGTGTGGGCAGATTTTTTCAAGTAAACTTATTCCAGTGTAGCACTTTTTCTGAAAGCTCATGTTATCTAGATTGTATATTAAGGTCATATTTTCTTTTCGACACCTTTTTTGTTGTCTTTTTGATTTATTTTATTACGATATCATTGCCAAAACTTTTAAGTCACTATTGGGCATTTAAAGAATTTTAATTTTTGGTAGTTTTTTTGCTGTAATTCGGTTACAAATACACGTAGAGACTTGAAGGTTGGTAATAATACTTATATTAGACTTACCTAAACGTGGTAATGTTTCCAAAATCATCGGACGAATTTTTTTTTTTTTTTAATAAGCGTTTTGAAATCAAATTTAAACGAAAATCGTATAAAAAATTACGGCATTTTAATTTATGTATTACCGAACTGCGCTCGGGATCGTCTTTCGTCAAGCAATGGTTTATAGTTGCTTACAGATGTAAATTAAATAACCTTGTGTATCCTACCTTCCCAACTTCTCACCTACAACAGTGGCCACACCCGTCCCCAGTATCAGCTCTTTTTTTTTATTTGGTAGTAATTACTTATACAATTTTGGAATTAAAAGGCGATTGTTTTGACGGAAATTAAATGATTACAATCTCATAAATATTAATATTACGATTAAAGACAATAGCTGTTATAATCAATTAAATGGATTGAAAATGTTGACGTTTCATTAAAGTATATTGATATAGATCCATAGGGTGTTCTAAATGGATTATCTTTCGAGTCAAGTAGAGTAAATTTATAACTTTAATATTTTAGCTCGAAATATGTCTTTAAAATACATTTACTTAAAAAATGTGCTATCCTACGTGGCTTCTTGTGGTAGAATATTAACTCTTCCGTGGCTTATAGCTCCATTTATGCCACTGAAATATAACTGTAGTATCAAATTAAACCAGAAAACCATTCGATCCATTTGCAATGCAATCAAATTATTTTAAATTTGTACTCGTATTAATAAATGGATTTCTCGGAAGATTTGAAAATGCTCAGTTTAGTTTACATAATTTCGCCTACATGAATAGTTTTTATTATGATGGTAGTATTACGTTGTTTATGATTTTTGCGCACGTTGTTTTTCCCGGTTTCTTTGAAAATTTCGGTAGTGTATTATTAATATTCCAATTTTAGTTCTCCACAAAAGCTTTTCTTTATATACTATACACAGCAGTAACTTCGGGCATTTCTTATACAATAAAATATATTATATATAGGAACTTACTAACGTTTATCAGGGTTTTTTTTTTTACCTGTCTTATTTTTGGTTATAGGTTAGGTACCTATGAATATTATAAACCGTATTCTTATTATTGTAATCGCACTACTATGCCTCTATACGAAACGTCCTTCGATTCAAGTCTTCAACCCTCTATGGGCACTTGAGTCGTTCCCGGTATTCTTCCTCTTTAGCATCCGTAATCGTCGATTTCGTGTTTTGATCCCAGTATGATGAGATTCACTGTTTAACTTCACCCTCTTCAGCCCAAGCTCACAAAGCCTTCACCGGGTTCTAAAACGTTTTCGTTAACTAACAACGCTACCTGTATAGCCTTTACAAAATATTGTTTACTGTTTCACTCAACTATTTCATCGTTACCAGAGTAGCCAAAGTTCACTTTAATAACCGAATTCTTACTTTATAAGAAGATGCTACGCTATATAATATAATAATATGTTGTTATCTTTGTCGTCCACATTAGTCAAACACGCACTTAAAACAACAGCAGTCGTTTCGATCACGGTACCTTTTAAGTATGTTTTAAAGTATACATTGTCCTACGTTATATGGCCTGCTGTAAACTGGAGACTTTTCGTCTTGTAAATTTATTTTATTCTAATGAGGAGCCTGAGGCCTCGTCACGTGCAAAGTATATTATGTTGTTATTCGGTAAATAATATAATTAACGTGCAGAAAATTATTAAAAATAAATATAAATATATGTAAATATAGGATTTTTTTTTTTGCAAATCTCTTTTTAAAATTCGGAAAAACAATGAACAATAATATATGATGTGATGTTTTGGATCTACAATTTATTACGAGTGTCGAGAATTCCAGAAATTAAATAGCGGCACGGTTGAAACTCTTAAAAACTTGTAATACCTCAAAAAAAAAACCCATTATCGAAAAGAGACGCTAATACAATTTTAAATATATTATGTATTGATAAACTTGTAATCGATGACAAGTGGCTAATCCGATGTGATTTGTGTTTCAGAGAACCCCGGTTACCAGGCACCGAACATCAAAGGGGACAAAGGTGATCCAGGTCAAAAGGTAAGCGTTACTATAATATAACAGTTTTATATTTTTTTATCTGGAATCCTACGGTGGCAGCAGCGACGCCTTTCCGGGGGAACAACACTACATAAACTAATGAATCATTAGACAGACCGGCGGAATATAACTTACAATATACAGGGTGTGGCAAAAATATTCATAAATTTTCAAAGCTGGACGAGTTAACCAATTCTATCAATGTTGAGTTATCTTCAAACATTTTTATGACGTATTCGTAATGTTCTATTTTCGAAATAACTAAAATTTCAATAAAATAACAGAGTTGAAATTATTTTTTAAAATAATTAATTAGGTTACTTTCTAACAATTTATTTTATTTTTAACTAGCTAAATTAAGTTATGAAAAAAAAAAATAAACATAACTTTTAACTACACTTAGCTTTGCGATTTGTCCGCTCGATCGTGATCATAATATTAATGGAAAAAATAGTTGTTTATTTTGAAAAACTGGACTCAGGCGTTTTTTTTGGGGGGAGGCCTACATTTTTACGTCAATTTTTACTGAATTTTGGTATATGTATTTCCGTCGCACCCTCTATATTATCGGACGTTTATGACCCACTACTGACCATCTCGTTGACAATAATGCACGAGGTTTAATATTTTTGTTCGAACGCAACAGGGAGAATCGATCAGAGGACCTCCGGGACCGCCAGGACCTCCGGGACCGCAAGGACCTCCGGGATCGCCGTTTTCCGGCAACTACACTACTGATGAAAAAGTGAGTGTATATTATAATACATATTTATGTACAATAAACAGTAAAATACAATGTACGTAAATACGCGCGATGTCGATTCGAAAATAAATAATAAAACAATCCCCCTAAAATCAATCTGTTTTTTTTTTTTTTAACGATGTCGTAAAAAAACTCGCTTAATATAATATTTGTTGGGAAATTTCAACGCGGACCGAAATTCCCACGTAGCTATGGTTTTCCTCGTAGGTAATATAATATTAAACAATTAATTCCGACACCAATCAAATCGGGCCGTTCACTCATTTAATATTATACCCGCGACTATGTATTATGATATTATAAATTGTCGCTAAATAATATTATCGAAAACCCGGACGTGGGTCCATTACGGTTGAAATGCGCTAATTAATTCAAACGCTATAAGTCCCTCTTCTCCGATAAATGGACGCCGTCAATCGCGAGGAATCCAAAATGACATAATATCAAATCAGGAAAACGGAAAGCATTAAATTGTTAGCCACGTATTAACAGCTTTATTACAAATATTATAATGCAATTATTTGTAATATTTGCCAAAAAAAAAAAAAAAACAAAATTAACTGCCCGTAAAAAATTGAAAATGTTTAGTTAATATTTTATGTACGAGTAGGTACTACATTCATTATCTCGGAAAGTATTAACTTTTTTTAACATTTTTTTTTATTTATAAATTTTTTTTTTATAACATATATAATAAATAAATTGTTCATAATTTAAGAAACAAGCATGTCTAAAATATTATATTACCATTATTTTTATCACCCTTATTTTTGGGAGTGAAACAATTACATTTTTGATTTTAAAATGCTAACCAAAATTAAAATTTCCTATAAATCAATGGAATATTAATACATTTTCGTGTGTGGGTATGAGAGCATCATTTGTGTGACGGTTCGATACGATACATTTAAATAATACTCCATTACTCTTCCTTTAACCAAAAATAAAGTATAATATTTTGTCAATAAGTGGATGGATATCAGAAATTATATTAAAATTATTTATGACATGTTATAATATAGGTTACTATTAGAAAATTAAAAGCAAGTAGGCGTTTTACATGCAAAAATAAGGATGAAAAAAATTATGGTAATGTATAATTAAGAGCTGTTTCATAAATTGTCAAAAATAATAATATTTTCCTAATACTTATTCCCAGTTATAAAAAAAAAAAAACCTACGAGAAAAATCACAAAATTACCACCACAATGCATACACTAAACAGAATATTACCATAAACCACTTCTGGTGTTGATGTTAGGAGTAGGAATTTCTGATATAAAAGTTGTGCGCAGATCAAATATAATCAAATATAGACCGTAAATGTATGAAAATCAGTGCGAATCTTTGTAACTGAAATTAGTTTAAAAATAAATCGCCCTGCAACTAGAATCTCGTTGATGTTTTCAATTATGATTGGTTTGTTTAAATTTGGTTTCCGTATGTATGATACATACATATACATATAGGTAGTTTAAAATTAAAACTATTTGAAAAAGATTATATCCTGTAGGCGTAATAATTTTAGACTGGGTAAATTTTATGTATGTACTGAATTCCGTCTAAACAAAATGTTTAAATTTAAAATAATATATATTGCATAATTTCTAAACGATTAACAATTATGCACGATTTCGCAGTATTAAATCGCATTTACTTAAAGTTCTCTTGGCATAATAATATTCGAATAATTTTAAATAAAATAAACGGCAGAAATGATTACCTGCGTTCCATTTGGATTTAATTCTATATAATATAATATACTTTGTAAACAAAGTTTATCATTAATATTTATTAGTTTAAAGTCGTCGCGGCACTTTGGTCTTGATAATGATCTCAAGAGTTTTTAGTTCATTTTGGTCCGAATTAATTTTTTATTTATACTTTAATTAAGTTTATTTTATACAACGCCGACCAAATCCACGGGTTTAAACGGTGAGTCTGTAGAAAAAAAAAAGATCTGTCAACTAACATTGTTATTAAAAATTTAAACTACATTAAAACAAAAAAAAAATTAATTTCTTATAATATGAACATTTTTTTTAAAAAGTAGTTTCGATTACTTCATATATTTAATTGCATTTAATACGTTTTCCTCTAATATATTACTTTACTAGCGTTTGTTTTTTTTTTTTTTTATCACTTTTTTGAATGAAATTATTGATTCGAAATTTAAAATACACTAAACATATAAACACTGACTGCAAATCAATTTGAAACATATTTTCCTATAGAAAAAAAAATAACCTTAAATATAGTTATTTTTTCGGTGAAGTTTTCGTACACAACCTCATAGTGATGAAAATTTCTATTTCTGAATTTATCGTACTAAGTTATGCATAAATAACTATAAGTAATCGTAAATTTCAAAAATAAAAATAAAAGTTTCGAAATTAAGGTCATTTTGTCACTCATTTACTACGAATTCACAGTTCTGTAGTAAATTGCATACTGTATTATGTTTACTTACTAGACTGTTTTTAATAATTTTTTAAAATATTTAGAGTTGATCGATTCAACTCAACAAATTTATTATGGTATCTATTCGTAACTTGAGTACACAACCTTTACTCGTGTACTCGACTGTTTTATTGAAAAAAAACAAAAACAAAAATTTAATAACCGAAAAAAAACATTTTCAAATCCAGATATTTGCGATAAGAAGGCCATGTTGATGGTTTGAAACTCGACTCAGCTCGATTTCAAAAAACCACAACTCGCCAAACTCTAATAATATTATATATGGAATAAGCGAGCAACAGCAGCTAGTATATTAATATAGGTACCTTTGAAACTGTAGTTTTACCGAGAACCTTACCTGAACTAAAACTTTTAGACGTTTATTTCATAATATCTGGTCCGGTTGCCGGTCGGGTTCAGTCGGGTTTTCGGCGCATCCGATAAAACATTGAATTTCGAGGAAGACATTCGAACCGTCATTGACCACAATGACCACGACGGCGACGGTGGCATCTTATGTATTTAAATAATTGGCAAAGTTTCGACATGAGTTGACTGCAGTTTTAATGCGCCGTTATCGAAAGTTGACCGAAGTCCGGGAGCACAGAAGAACATTATAATATTTTGTATACAGTGTTGCTGGTACCTACCGATAATCCGCGATTGGATCATGTGCTGCAAATGTTCAATAACGCGGTTTAGGTGTAGTTAGGTAACCTACGAATCGGATCGGATGATAATCGTTTATACAGAGTGTCCATGAAAGAACGTTTTTTTTTTTTTTTAATTTTCCCATTTCTTTGTTTTATATCGACATCACTGTACCGAAAAGTTTTCTTATCTGAAAAACCTGAAGTTTTGCATGATATCGTTCGTTTTTGTTTTCGAGTGTTATGAATGCGCCCGTAACCATGGAAAGATTGCTTATGGAAATGCACGTTTTGGTTTCCCGATAGACTCATCTCATTGCGTGGGGACCAAAGCTCGCCACAGCACAATCTTGCGACCTCACCGCCTGCAATATTTTTTTTATAAAGTTACGTTAAATCGAAAATGTACGAGAATAATCCCTGCGATCTCTCCCTATTCAAACGAGAAATCCGAAGAGTGATGGGAGGAACTGGATGACGAAATGTGTGAGCGCATTATCGCAAATTGTATGGTCAGATCAACTGCCTGTAGAGTCAATAGGTTTCATAGATAAACTTCAGGATCTTCTGAATATAACTTAAAATTTTTAAAATTCTGATAAAATAAAAAAATTATTGCATTTTATAAAAAAAAAAAAAAAAAAACGTTTTTTCGCAGATATCATTTACAATATACACTAAAACTTTGAACGATGAGTTAAACAATTTGTAAAATAAAAAAAAAAATACATATATATACATTATACTTACATAAAATAATATTCCCTAAAACATACTAAGGGAAAATGGTTATTTAACTTTGGATTCAGGGAATAGATAGATTCATTTATTATTCATAGAATTTGTTTATGTACTTAAATTCTGATGAAAGAGCTATTCGTTTTGCAAATAGTGTGTTTTTCATCGCTCCGACTTTTTCATCTCATACCCTAAAACACGCAGATTGTTTACCTCGTAGTAGAACATAATAGTATTATATAAAGGGATTTTAGATATTCCCAATACTTTTTCTAAACAAAAATTATTTTTATGAAGTTTTTTTTTCTTGAAGCAATGGTCGATTTCTCTTAAAATAGTATATGCGTTGCATATTCACAGGCGTAACTAGACAACCAACTTTGTTGGTGTTAAAATTATGGACACATAAAAAATCCCATAGGAACTATGACCCCATAATCTCTTTTACACGATTATTACAATAAGAAACTATACATTTAATTTACAGTTTTGTATTTAGTAAGTTATCATAACTATTTTCACATTAATTTTCATATAATATGTCTGTAGGGAAATTTGTATTTTGTTTTGATCATTAAATATGAAATACATAGATAAAATATTTAGTCACCACTATGAAAAAAACTTATTTGTCTTTTATTGGAGGCGCTAAAGACCATCTAACACCCCCTAGTTGCACATATGCGCATATTATATTATTAATCAACAATAATTAAATTATTAAGTAGTACGGAAAAAGCGTGCACCAACAATTTATAATAATAAATTTTGACGTCGTTTCCATGTGATGTGTTTTTAGGCCTTCAATTCCAGTTGGTATGACCCCAGGGGTCCGCCAGGCGTGTGCAGTTGCAATTTGACCACACTGTTCGGCCCCGGAAACATACCGGAACTGTTACCAGGACCACCAGGCAATCCCGGCAACGATGGAAAAATGGGATTGACAGGACTTCCGGTTAGTATATGATAATGGTTATTGTTATTATTATTATTATTACATTTGACAGCCTGCGATCACATTTTAGCATTTAGCATTTATCTATGCAATTCGTAGTCAGTGACAAGCGATACAATACAAATGCGAACACTTTGTAAAAATTCAAAATGTACTTAGAGGATTGACTATTTTCCAAATTTTCTTCAATATTGTAAAATTTGAAAAACTTTATTTGTGTCGCAATGATCATGAGTTTCTATGTTCTTTACTAAGATACGTTGGAATTATTTTATTTTTTTTATTGAATCATTAAATTAAAATTATGGTTATCATAAGGAAAAGGCAAAATATTCAAAATAGTCAATACGGTACATGGTACACTCTTAAAAAATGTTCAAAACAAAAATTTTAGAATTTGTTTACGATAACCAATGAAATAATTTATTTTTCTATTTCCAACATATCCAAGTGAAGAACCTAAAGAATCATAACTAGTTATCAACATTGAAGTGTTCGAAACACAATTTTTACAGTTTGATTTGGCTTTTAGATTTAAATCGACTAAAATATACTCTTTCACCAATCTCCAAAAGCGAGCTCGAAAAAAAATTATTATTCAATTAACTATTTTGTAAAAACGATTTTTTTGACAATTTTCGGTGATTCGGACATGTTTAATAATGTTTCTAAGATTTTTCCCCCGGTTTGATGAAAACTCTTAGTTGATTTTATTTATTTTCTTATATTTTTTTCGTTACGGTTCACCAATTTTGATCTACCTTCTTTTTCATTCGAGTGTACCTAAACTGACCCACTTTATGTCCAGCTGAATACATTATTATATAATGCTATAGCATTTAAACATAGCGTTATTAATTCTACTTTCGGGAAATATTATTGAATTAACATATATTAAAATATCGTGATATTTATTTTCCCGGTGTTTAAACATTCGTTCAATGATTATGTGTATTGAAGTGTAACATAAAATTTACAAAATTGTATAATAGATATTAATAACGAATTTTCGAACCTACCAACAGCATTTTAAGATACTAGTAATGTTCTATTTATAATGTATATATTGTACAGTAATTTATTAGCAAACGAATAATATTTTGTATTCTATATATTATTCCAATATTAGTTATTATTTTATCACGAACTTATAATTATCTTTTCAGTGGATTTATATCATTTCTGTTTTTTTCCAATGTTTATAGAACCATTTAAATTTCATTTTTACACAATTTCCTAATTTTTACCCCTTACTCCTTATACTTTAAATGATTGGTTTAATTATGGTTTTTATATAGCAACATTCCTTCTCTCTTTTCAACATATTTTTTTTTTTTATATCAAAAGAGAATATTTAGAGAGATTTTTAAAAATTGGTTAAAGTAATACATTTATAATAATGGTGGTAATTGATTGTGATAAAAAAATTACCGTGCAAATTTGTATTTAAGTAAATATTTTACTCTTAGACACTATGTAATCTACCATAATATAGTATACGTATCGATTAATTCGGTTCAAATTTATTTATTTTTTTTTTAAAATCTCTTTTCTGGTTATAAAATAAAATTTACATACAAATTCTGCACGAGCAAATTTTACCTAAGGATCCCTAAACGAATTCCTTAACGTCTTCCATAAACAAATAAAAAAAAAAACCCTATGCAGATATACCAAAAAATCAGTACACGCAGCGTGCATTCTTTAAATAATTAGGTGCCCAAAATTGTAAATACCAGTACTGCACCGCAACACGCGATGGCACATACTATAATATGAATTCTCGTCCTGTACTTTCAAGACATAAAATAATAGAGTAGAAAATTGGATACCGAAATAGGTACCTTATATATGGATAAGACTTTTGATATTGTGTTTTTTTTTTTTTTTGTAAATATTTAAAATATTTTACATATTTTTTAATACTCGGCAGGACAAAAGAGTATGTAGACTAGACCTACAATATAACAATGTAATACGTAGGATAAAGGTATATCGTATATGGGACAAAAAAGGTAGAAAATATTATTTTTAAAACATTACCGGATCGAGTTTTTTTTTTTTGCATAGTTCGTATTATTTTAAGTTGTAACCACAAATTTACAACCACAAAAATGATATAACCAACTATATGCAAGAATCGAAACTTTTAAGGAATTCAAAGAAAATGGAATCAGTAAGATCAGTATAAAATACAGAATTGTTACGATTGTAGACATATATATATATATATATGGGTTGATAAAAAAATAAACCTCATATGCTTGGTAAAATTCAATATGTTTAAATTGGCATTATTACTTCTGGCGATCTAAAAGGTTGTAGATATATTTTTATTGATATACGTTATAACTATAGGTATACTAATATTTTTTTTATTAATAAAAAAAAAATCGAGTTTGGTAAATCGCCAATAACAACAGCACTGTACGAGTTAAATGAGACCTATACCTACTATACTATTCGTTCGAGGGATTATTAAAGTCAATAAAGTGATCACTTGGGAAATCGAGAACGGTTCTTATACGGCTATATCTACTCTAATGATAAATAATATAATGAAATTTTGGTTTTGGAATTGCCCCGGCAGTATAGTTATTGTGAGTGTGTGGGAAACATAAAAAATTACAACAACCCGTTCAAAACTTTCGATTTAGGGTTGTGTGTATACACACGGAGAAAAGGTAATTTTATAAGCATACGCAACAGTATTAAATAAGCTTAAATATATAATATACATATCGAAAATATCTATTAATGGCTATCGTATACTATATAACAAATAAAACGAAAAATTCGAACAGACAATTTTGTGTTTTATTTAAAAAAACAAAAAAACCAAACGGACATACTTCGTTCGAAGGGTGGCCACTGTTGTAGGTGAAAAGTTAGGAAAGTAAAAGGGAAATTTAATGTATATCTGTACGCAGAATCCATGGAGTTGATACGAATATTTTTAACTAAATTTCAACAAAAATATTAAAATTTTTATAACAAAAAAAAAATGGCAAAAATGTTTTTAAAAGGCAAATATAAGTTTTCTTTCTAATTTAAAATCTCTACGAATATTTTGAACTGAATTACAACAAATAACAAAATTGAAATATAATAAAAGCATTATTTTTGTAAATTTCCCGTTTTTCTTACGTTTTATCCTGGTTTTTCCATAATATTAAAAACAATGATTAAAAACCGTTTGGAAAATTAAAAAATGATCTCCCAAAAGTACCATCTGGACAACGTTCCCTTTCAGAAATGCCGCGCGTTTATATCTGAACAAGATTTCTGGTAGAGTTTTTGTTGACAGTACAAAAAAAAAATAAACATCTTGGTAAAATCAATACATTCTTCGATACACTCAGAATCTAAAATAGTACAAGTTTTATTGAGTTATTTTCTTATAAACGTTTCGGGAAAATAATAACTCGAACGTTGTTTTATCAAATGATATTTTTACCACTTCCATTACAATCGACGAAACCTGAAATAACCGTCAATACGCATAGGCCACATAATATTGTTTTTATTATGTTATTAGTCTAACATAATATCTGACACGGTCCCTATTGTTATTTTATTTCAACGTGGAAAAAAAAATTAAATAATGCGAATAGCATTTAAAAGTATCTAAAATTGCATTATAAATAAAGAAAATCAACAAAATTGCAATCAAATCAAAAAGAATTCCAAAAATGTTCACTAAAAATGTTTGGATTTTAATTCGTACTTGTATGAAATTAATTAAAAACCTACTTAGCAACTAATTCGAACAATAGAAAAAAAGTTGCAACTGGTGAACCCCATTTATTTTATTCACATTCTTTCGCCTAGCCTGACTGTCTGAGATACCCAAAACTATAAACTTCAAAGGTCGTATTGGATAAAAAAAAACGTAGACAATCCGCACGTCCATAATAAGTTCTAAATAATTTCGTTACAGAAGTTCCGCAGCTTTCATCATATCAAATATGAACGATTAGGTATTATTATTAATACAATCCATTCCGTTCCATTATAATATTGACGATACGCATTTGGCGGGTTCGTATAATTTCACTTCCGGGATACAAAATTGATTAAGGGTCCGACATTTCGCTACCACAATAATACAAACCTGTATATACTTATACGTACGTGTACAACGTTGGGTTATTGGTTGAAACGAAAATATCAAAGTACAAAGGGAACGTAATATTGTACTATTAGGTACTGCTGGACACGGAATATTTTGACGTGGTTTATGCGAACAAACGCGATTTAGGATATAAAATCAACGAAACGATGAAATTAATGTAACAGTGACTTTTTTCGGTCGCTTAAAACTCGGGATTTTCATATGTATCTTGAATGTAATATCAATATCTAATGCATTATGTGTATAAAATGGGACGGGGAACCTCTGTTCAATATAACAAACATTGTTTGGAAACTATTAAATTATCTTATAAAAAGATAAGAATATGTTTATTTGGACGCCTACGAGCTGGTTCTTAATTACCTACCAAATTTGTATCCTGGTTATTCTATATGTTTAGTTTATATTGAGTTTGTTTTGTCATACAAATATGTACCTAAATAAATGTAGATGTGCATATGAAATAATTACGAATTGGTTTCAACAAACTGTGTTTATAATAACAGAAAAACAGAATTATTACAATCGTACAACAATTTACAATTATTTGTACAGGACGTTTACATAGTTGTTTATAAACTGTTCGTTTTAACTTATTACTTGATTTTCGTCCCTCTTCAGTATTTTTAATTATATTTTTCACGATTGCGTTATAGCTAACATTCCTCAATACTATTTAAACCATTTATTTTTTTTAAAACAATATGTTTTTGTACAGTAATCCACCGTTTGACGTTAAACCACCCGTGGTTTTTTTTAAATTGTTTTCATTTAACATAGCCGTATTAATTTACATAGTCCCACGCTTATGTTATAACAAAATACACGCATGGGTGTGACTAACTGTAGTCAATCAGGACTGATGTAAAAAATAGTATGAAGATACGAATCTACCTATCCGGTAGCATATTTAGGAATTTATAAGAAAATTATTCAATTTAAAAATTGTACCATATGTATTACCTTTTATGAGCAGACTTTAATAAAAGGTTAAAATTTAGTATATATTTGTAAATATAATTTATAGTTAAATTTGCCCTATAATTAAAATTAATATCACAATTACTATAAGAAAAATATGATTTAATTTAAGACTTAAAATATTAACCACTAAAGAGCCATTAAGTGTATCTCAAATTTAGGTAATCCTGGTAGTTATTACGAGCAGTAGCGCACACAGTTTTTTTTTTTTTTTTGGGAGTAGATGTGCCCACAACATTTTCTAGAGAGAGGATAGCACTTATAATCAGTACAGTACTATTACCATTATTACCGAGTAAATTATGATAGAATTTGATGAAAATAAATGTTATTATTTTATTCTGTAATATTACGCGATAATATATTATACTGCTGAATGTAAAACTTGATTTAAAAAAATTAAATTAAGGATGGGGGTGGGTTCTGAATCCTAACCACGCCCTCTGTGCATGTTACTTCTGACGGATATTATTTTAAATGAAAAAATATATACGATCTAATTTAATCTGTCTGTACAATATTTAGATTTTTCTGATTAAGAATTCTAAAAAGGTTATATTTAAAAAAGACGGACATACTTTGCACATGGGTGCCACTATTATATTGGTGGGAAGTAGGGTAAGTAGAATATAACCCAGAATTTAATATATATATATATATATCTGTAAGCAACGATAGACAATTGCTAACGAATAAACTTTCTGAGCAGAGTTAATTTAATAGTGTTGCTTTGTCAGCAACATATACATATTATTCCACATTATGGTAAACAATGTGCGTTTCCATGACAACAATGATTGTTTTAAAAATAGTATAAAATAATAAAAACATAATAATAACAAAAATAAACAAAAACGGTTGCTAAATGACAACCTTGTTTTTAATTTTTAAATCTTGTTTTAACTTACAATTCCAGGTTTTCCTCATTATCTCGAATATCAATGATAATTTCAAAAAATGACCCGTTTTTAACACCACCCATTTTATACTACTATTTTATACAAAATTACAGGAACTAACTTGGACATTTTTTTGATTCTAGTTAATTTTTATTGGGAACTGATTCATATTTTTAATTTTTATCTGTTTCACTTATGATCCAATTCCATTTTCACGTTTTATTTGAAGTCATAACGTTTAAGAAAGTATAAATTACATGGTTGTTTTCATTTCTATATTTTGTCGTAATAGACAACCGCGACGACGACGAAATGTTTTGTTTTTCGCAACTAGCTGTTATGCAATAAACACACGAACTTTCAAACGAATTTGAAAAAAATAAAACGCAATTATTTCTGTATATAAAACATATTTTCATTTAATGGATTTTTTTTTCTCGAAAACACCGAGTTCGTCAAATCGAGGTTACTTATTATACATTATTTATTATAAATATAGTATATGGACAAAGACCGGGTGCCACGTGCAGCCCCGTCAATCCTTCCTCGTGATAACAATAATAATAGTATAAGAAACATTAAAAATATATACTTGTATAAATTTAACGATCGATTTTTTTTTTATATACAGGGTATCGAAGGAACTCCGGGCAAGCAAGGACCAGAAGGACCTAGAGGTAAAAACAAATAACAGATATTTTATTTTATTCAACGTTAGTTTAATAAACCAATAAGAGTTTATTGCTGCATGAGTACGTAACTGCGATTTCTCTCCTGGAGCAAGCAAACTATATCAAATATATGATACTTAATAAAAACGAAAACAAGAAATTATATTTCCTTTAATTCACAGTTCAGACACATTATTTCTGTACTAAACGTGGAGCAACTCTAATACAATACACTATATATTTTACGGGTATCTAATATTAACAAAGCGATATTTTAACAAAATTAAATACTAGAGATATTTTTAGTATTGGTGAGGAGGGAAAATTTTAATATTAATTTGGTGTTGAGTGATAAAAACATGACGTGTTAATATTTTGACGGATGTAAAAATTCGAATTTAAATTTGTGTTCCTCTATTCTTAAATCATTTCGGTTAGGTTAGGTTATGCCACCTAATTTCTCTTAAATCTGCTGAGTATATATTATTATACTCCCGCCAATCACCATTTTGTCCGTGAAGCTGAGTGCGACGATCGTCTAATAATTCTATCTGAGCGATCGGCTTTATCTATAACGATAAAGCCGGTTTAAAAGTACGTCTTAAACTAAATTACCGATATATATATATGTATAGAGAGAGAGAGAGAGGGAGAAGAGAAAGAGAGACGATACGCGGGATTTGGATTCCATTCAAAGTCGCTTTTATACGCACTGCACTTAGCGCACTTATTTTCTATAATTCGAATGTCCCGAAATAATAACTTAGTAGAAAAAGAAAACTGTCTATTCCATCCGATTAGGTACTTCTAAATTAAATTTTTAATTTTTGGAATGTGTTAAATTAACAAAATTGTAATGCTATATTCAGTGCTCACAGGTATATCACTGTAATATTTTGTAATGGGTAGTTGGATTGATGGAATATAATAAAATTAAAGTTTGGATGTTTCTGAAATTGCATATTTTTTCTTTTAACTAATTCAATTCTGACCTGGATATAAATTTGATTTATGTTCTACTGAATACAAAAATACTATTACTACTTTGCATATTTTATGATTTTGTATTTTAAATGCGTATTTTAAAATTTTAAGAATATAAATGCATATTTCAGCAAATTTTTAACTTGTACAAATTTTAGCTGATACACTACCAGAGTGTTCTGAAAATCATAGTCCCGAATCGTGTTTTCTCCCATTCTTTCGATTCCAACCTCTCTAAATCTGTGTTCTGTCAATCCATGATGTTATCGGCCTATCGCCGGGCCTTCTCTCTCTGCTTATCATTTCCGATTGCCAACCTACTTTGCTCCTTTCACATGACGTGTCCCAGCCACATTTTAGCTATATACTAATAATGATGAATGCCTCCTTCATTTCCCTTATACACTCATTAAACTTACCAAGCATTTCGGAGTTTAATTTTTTATTTCCTAACATACTGAAGCAAGTAGAGTGTTTGATTTTTATATCGGGCAAATTTGGTTGTAACATAAATTTCAATACATTTGGTACACCTTCAAGTAAAAATTATGTACACCTAATGATATTTGTATACAGTCAGTTTTTTTTTCTATTGTGTAACACAAAAAAAAACATAAAAACACAACAATTATTCAAATTGTTCTCCGATATTTAAACAACATTGTAAGTTTATTTTTTTTTTTTATTTTACTGTCGCCAAACGGTAATTTACAATTAACAAATGAAACGATAGTATTAAAAATATTTTTTTTGACAGACTTACTAAGATGATAACATGCAAAAAGCAACAGCAAAATATAGTATTATATAAACAAACAGTAGAAAAACAAATAGATAAAAAATGAACTAGACGGCTTTATTGACACAACGAAGCATGAAGTATAAAGGATTTTTGTGACCGTAGGAAGTGGAGTGAATAGGGATATGAAAAGGTGTATGATGTCTTGAGGTGTAGACAGGAACACGGAAATTAATAGAGGAAAGGGGGTCTGGGGCATCTATTGAACCATAGAGTAGACCTTGAATAAAACGGAAATCAGCATTAACTTGTCAGAAAGAAAGCGTGGAGATGTTTAGCTTTAAAAGTACGGATGAGTAGTCATGTTGTGGATGCACAATTTTAAGCAGAAAATAGATAGACAAACCTATTCTGGACTCTTTTTAGTCTTTTGCTAAATGGGCTTGCTAAATCATCATACCATATTTCAAAATTGGGCGCACATGAGATTGGTAAAGTGTAACGAGACAATGGACAAAGCTAAACATTTTAGTGTTACATTTTAAGAAACCCAGAACTTTCAGTGTTTTTCAGACGGTAATATTAATGTGGTAGTTAATGTCTAAGGAGGGAGTGAAATTTATATCAAGATCTTTATTAACAAAAACACTCGCCAGGGGAAAAGCCATTGATATGATGAGAAACAAATATTGGGTTATGATGCCTAAAAAAAGTTATGACGGCTAGGTTCAAGCTCAGACCAATAAACTTGATCCATTGAGCGAACTGTAGTAAATCCTTATTCAATCCTTTATACAAACTTCTTCTTTGTCTACATTTAAAACGGAAAAATAACATTTGTTTGTAGAACAAATTAATCATTATTGCTAGATATAACTACCTATACATATTACTCACCTTGAAAATATCGTCCAATTACGTAAAAAAAACTGACGAATTCGAAGTTTTAGGTTTAAATTTAATTCCCAAGATTAACTAACAATATCACGACGAAATTGTCCGTAATAATACGCAACATGGTGTCATCAATTTATCATTTCCAAGTTCCAACCATATTAATATTATACTTACAGTTTGTTATTTTTTGCAATTTACGTAATAACTTGTTTGGTTTAAAGCAGCTCTGTTCCGTAATACCATCCAGTTAAATTGCAAAGCCATCCGCAGTTGTCAAGTTAGAGAATTAAAACTATTTTCGAACCTTATAATAATACAATTACTTTATGAACGATGATAATATAATAAAAAGTATTATAAATAAAATTAATTGGTTTTTGTACGACGTCGTATCCTTACACCTACGTAAAATAATCGGTAATATATTTTATGCGAAATGAGCGCACGAAGCTTTTTATTAAATAAAATAATCTCTGCGGAAATCGTTTGAAATCAATATGTATGCGCAACACACTAGATATAAAACAAAATAATTGTTTTAACACGTAAGTTTATCAACGGAAACTTTCACAGTCTTTTAAAATCCATAAAATTATACTATGTACGTAATAACACAATTTATGTAATACCTACTTAACTATTATGTAAATCCGTTATTTTGGTGGTTCACTTAGGTTTTCTTACAGTAGTCGTAAAAAAACTGTTAAGTATTTGTTAAGTATTCGGAAAACGGTCTTTCGCTTAGTAAAAATCTTCAGATGTTTTTCATGTATTCTGCATTAGGTATCTATGAAGATCCGGAAATTCTGTCCGGTGATACTTTAGTTTTCTAAAATTTTTAAATTAATTAATTAATTAATTCAATTTTTCTAAATGTATTTATTTAACACTGACAACAAATCATTAAATCGGTTTTTTTTAAATTCTTTTCTGTAAGGTTATTTTAACAATAAGGAAAAAAATAAACTGGAACCTTATCAGTGTAACAAGCTCAGATCAAAATCGTTTTGGATTTCGTTGACTCATCATTGCTTTTTTTTTTTATCGCATAATAATTAGTAAAATAACAATAATCATAATACTTCCATAAAAACTTCTGGTCATAATATGAAAATAGATACTCATTCTAAGTACATTAGAGTTAATCTGACATTTCATGTTTGACAGGGATAATGTCCTTACAATATAAACCTCCTCCTAACCTTTCCAATACTATATTTCATTTGTATATTTTTGGTTTGTTTCATAAAAAAGCATTGTCATCCCTATAACGCAATTAACGTCAAAAATGTTTAAAAAATATTTAGCCACGAGAACAAAAAGAAAAATAATAATAATAACAATAACAAAACTAACAAATTCTCTTTCAACCTAGTTAAGTTACTAGGTATATATTTCCTACTTGTTTTTAAATTTGACGAGTAGAGTTTGTTTACAATTAATTTTCGTCTTTATTTCCCATGCATATTTTCGATGCTATTAGAATACTACATTTTTTTCTTTTGTTCAAATTATAATTTTATTTCTAATCCAATCGACTTATTTTTTATACGAAGCTTCTAGATATTATGTTTATCGACATTTGAATTAAGAGGGATTATTCTTTTTCGAAAAATATTCCGTATTTTTTATGTTTTACAATCTCATTTAACACTGCAGCATTTACAATTTATTACGCATTTTTTTTTTTTTTTATCTTTATTTTTTTTTTTTCAATTCAAGTTCTGGCGATTGTTAATAATTGTTACTGCTAACATTATTTTTTGGTCACTGTTTCTTGAACATTTCGATATTATTCATAATATACTAACAATGTATACCTAATTAAAACGTATTATAATAAATGAATTTAAAATTTAGCATTTATACATTTCAGGTGAAAAGGGTGATCGAGGAAGTGATGGTCCACAAGGAAATGAAGGTGTACAAGGCCCTAAAGGTAAATAAGAAAATATAAATTAAATATAAAATAAATAATTACTTTAATACCTACCTTTATGGATGTTTACAATAGGTTATATATTTTTTCTAAAATTTAAAAGAAAAACATAGTATAAGTTTAATGGTATCTATAACATAGAGCAAAGATACCTTATTTTTAGTTTGTTTTTATACTTATTACTTTTGCAGGAGACCCCGGTGTTAACGGAGAACGAGGTTTACAAGGTCCTCCGGGTCCACCAGGACCTCCCGGCGAGTCACGTTTTCCAAATAACGATGTAAGTTTTCTCTATATTTCTATTACAGTATTAAAAAATATTATGAAATTATAAATAAAATACTTTATTTCTAGTACCTATGTATTTTAATTTTTTCCTACCTACTTAAAAAATCTACGAGTATATTTAATTTTCATTTAAAAATGGTTGTGTTTATTTATTTATAGCCAAGTTGGAAACCTAGGCCAATTGATAAGGTAAAAATCAATTTTGAGTTTTTAAAAGTTGTAGTTGATTGGTTAGTAGTATTAGTATCCAATATTGATTAGTATTGTTAGTATTTATACACGGTGATTATTTTACCACAAATCAACGATTATCTACGAACATTTCGAGATTTTTGTTTTTATCAATCACTATGTAAAATCGATAAACATGTTCTTGTTTACAGTGTTATCAAAATTTTATCATTATTCTGATGTTTCAGTCAGATAGATATTTAATGATATTGGTATACGCGTAATAAGGATAAAATGTTGAAAACATAATATAAAATAAGATCACTAACGATTCTATATGTCTATATTATTAATAATGTTTGAAAAAAAATGTTTACAAAATCATCGCAAATTTAATCAGTAATTTATATCATACGATGTAAAACTATTATGCATTGCGTCCACTGTATCTAGAGGATTACTGAATCAGTTATATATTAAAAACGCTATTATAATATTTAATATTGATATTTATATTTAATGTTTGTACATTAAGTTGCTGTACCTATATATTATAATAGGTATGTCTATGAACGTTATTCAAAGCAAATATCGCGTTATTATTTTCAGGACGGCATTTGGTTCGATTCAAAAACTGGAAGACCGGGTCCTCCGGGTCCTAAAGGAGATCCTGGTGTTAACGGTGATGCGGGCTTAAAAGGTACATCAATAGACAAATAATACTGTATATTATTAAATAAATGATAAACCGCATAAATAATAATATCAAAATTATGACGGTATATATCTTCGTATACTTCAATTTCTGCACTACACATGTTGCTATACCATTTTGACTTGAAATTATAAAATGCCGCTTCATCGAATTTTACCACTCGCGTATACCTATAAATACAGTTAACTTTACCTTATAACATCTTATACCACACCACGTTAGAATATTATGCAAATAGTGTTATCATCATCATCATCATCATCTTACGTAAATAAGATTTAAGACTAATTTAGAGTTTTAGCCGCCACTATCATTGCCCTTCAATAATCACGATCCCGAATCTTTTCCTATCGTTCTGTCGCTTCCGAGTTCCTGAATATGTATCTAGATTTCACTGCATACCGTCCAATTGGCATTTTTCCCGCTGGCTTCCATTCGATTTCCGAAAATTGAGTGGCGTACCCGAGAACTAACTGAACATAATCAAACATTCAGGAAATCTATCATAGATGTATATTGGTGCATCCAAAATATTTTTCTCTAGCACACACATTTGTTCATAAAAATAAATTGCATCCTTTCCACTCAAATTGTAATTTAATATTTATGCCTGCTTAAGAAAGATAAATTAAAACAAAGTCTAATCATGCATAAACTAATAGACATAGAAGAAATTATTTTTCGTAAAACTAGTTGGAGTTTTTGAAATTTCATTAAAAACGTCTCTGTGACAATAACTAGTCTCCCCGGATTTCGAAGACTTCGAAACTAAAAGGTAAACTGATAGTGTTACCTTAAATAAAACGAGGGATTCCGTTCCACTTCGTACCCACCCACATTAAAACAACTGCTCGTTACATTACAAATCAGCCGAGTATCGCAGTTTGACCATTTACAATAATTATATTTTGTTTACCGTATTATTTACCTACTAAATATCTGTCTAATAATATTTCAAACCGTTTACATATTATAGGCGCGAAAGGAATTCAAGGCAGTAAAGGAGCTCGCGGCGAATCGGGACCGAAAGGAAATCGAGGTGATAAGGTGATAAATTTTTTCGTATTCTTATTATAATTATAAATTATTATTTTATATATTATATAGGTACAAAAAAAAAAATAATAATAATAATAAAGTTAAATCGAATACGCGTAAACGAATATGATAGTCGATACACCGCGTAACGTTTACTATATTGAAAACAATAATAATATACAAGTACCCGCCTAGAACATTAAGCCGTAATATTATCGTAACGTAAATAATTGACAACCGACGAGATATTATAATAGGAGTGGCAGCGATACGAACGGGAATAAACTATGAACTGCAGTGGCGGCGGCGCGGCGGTGGTATAATGTATATAATATATTATTATATAGGTATTAAATATGCATTCGGACAGTTTAGTGTGATTGGATTGAAAACGTAAAACCCTTTCGCGATAATAATTATTATCATTGTTTCGAACGCTATGACGGTTTTATTGGATAGATGGGCACCTGGCTAGGTGTACAACAGGCGTGAGGCGCTGTAGGTACGTATATAGAGGAATATTATTCCGTTTAATGGCGGTGGATTTCCGCGCTGACCGCCGTGTATTTTAGTGCCGGTGGTCGATGATTTATTCGTTTTATCTCTTATATAACGTAGAATAATAATAATAATAATAACGATAACAATGATAATAATTAATAGCTAGGTTATCGAGTATAATGTTGTTACGATATTATTATGACCCGAGAAAAATATTTCAACATTTAATAAATATTTGTACGTATACTATATGTAATGGGTAATTTCTTGTTTTTTTTTCATCACGATCGAATGATTTTCGTCGGAGGATTATACGTATGATTTCGACTTTGACAGTTCCTATCCCCCCCCCTCTTAATCGTTAGGGAATTTATCGTTTAAATTTTATTTTAACACTGCTGGTCCCAAACCACCGCAGGGTCTGCTGTACCCTGATCCTTCAACGTACACGTATGTACCTTAACTATATTTTTATTAATGAATATTGACTTTTGATTATCAAACGGCAACCTTCATCCTACCATTCAATATATAAATTCCAAAAACACAATTTCTTCTGGCTCGTGAACATCGCGATATCGAATAACAAAACCGTTTATAGTTAAGTATAACAGTTATGGAAGACTTTATCTACTGAAAAAAGCCAAATTAATTTTACTTAAAATATGATAAAAATAAAAAAAATCATCATGGTATACATATACCTTAATATTTTTTTCGGCCGTGTTTATAGTATTATTATTTCGAATTTAATTTTAATTTATCGCATTTCAATACCATCAATTAAATTGTTTGTTATATTATTATTTTTTTTTTCGACATCGTATCTCATATAGAAATGAGTGATATATCTTATGCAATATGGTAACGAATAAAAATACTACTTACATTTGTTATATGTTTTCATTTTCAAAAAGTTCTATAGTGTTATAAATAGAGCGCAGATTTATATTCTCTTAAAATAGCAAAATAAGATGCTTATTTTCTCTAAAAATATTATTAAATCATGCAAAAATATGTTTTTTATCAATATATTCTCTTAACATTAAAATATGTACTTATATGCAAAACAAATTTAATAAATAATTAATTAACAAAACCAAAAACACTATTAAAATAATAATAAACTTGTATTTTTTTTTATAGTTATTTCAGCATTTCATTAAATTACAACTTCTAAATAAAAGCATAACAGAAATAAAATATAAAAAAATGATTTTTTAATTTTATTAGGTTATATATTTTCTTTAATAATATTTGTAAAAATTTCAAAATAGATAAATTGCTACCATTAAAAGATTGGGTAAAATTATTGTAGAAAAGTTATCCACAGGAAAAAAGAAGACCATAATATTTTTAGCTCTAACCTAGATATCTTACATTTTCCCGATTGTTTGTCGGTTTTTCACTTTTTGTTGAACAAACTCCGGAAAAAATCGAAAAATGACCTCTCTAAAGTACCTACCCAATAGAATGTCCTTGTAGAAAATATGCAACACGTAAAAATAGGAGAAAGTCTTCTGGTAGAAATGCTATACACAGAAAAAAAAAATTAAAAAAACATCTTTGTAAAACCACAGGCTTCTTCGTTCTACTCAGAATCTAAAATTCGACTGACAGGACGTGTATCAACGTCATTTTGCCGTATTCATATAATGATTAACAGTAAAGTAATAATTTTTGCACTTCATTATGATTTGCTCATTATCAAATCGTAGTGGCATTGAAAACTATCTTACGATGTATACACCCATTAATAAATTATTATAAAATAGAAAAAATTTATCGTAGTGGTTGACATGTATATATTTTTTTAATTCCTGGAAATATTTTAATTCATCAATGTTTAATTTTCAAATATGGAAAAAAATGATTTCATATTCTCTTAACATCAAAATATGCACTTATATGCAAAATAAAATTTTGTATTCTTTTACTGTGAATCGTTGACAATTTTACTCTTATAATTGTGCATACATCCATTTATACATGTTTTTATATAGAAATTCGCACTCTAGTTATATGTGTTACGTAAATCACGATAACATTGACATATTATCGTTGTAATTTAATGAGTTCTAAATTTTATCATCCCAAGTGAATATTGCAAATCTGAACTACAATAAAATAATATTACTCGGTATACCAATACTCACGCATAGTTATTTGTACTCAAAAAGATCTTTAAAATGTCATATCAAAAAATGTCCGTTTTTTTATAGAAATTGCGGGATAAACCAATATTGACGCATTACTTATACAGATACCACGAATTATACATTTTACAATTATTTCTCAGAAAATATACTACATTAAAAGAACTAAACGGCTCTGATAAATGCATTATATATTATTATTATTATTATTATGAAATGTTAAACATTCAAGTTTGAAGCATTTTTTACTGGATTTGAAACCACTCGGAAAATAAAATTATTGTTAACAATACGTGCCTATAGTAAATCCCGAATATTTCTGTAAATTACTTAATTTACCAGTAAAAATATCTCAGAAATCAGTAGTCGCATATCAAATCTAAATAATCTATATTAAATGAAAATATTTCACTATAAGTTATAGAACGTTATTCTTAAATTAATAATCTTAATCAAATAAAGCTTAACAAAATCAATAATATTATTTTAAAAAAGGCTGATACTGTTTTTGGATGCATTACTCTTGTGAATGAGATTTTAGGAAAGTAGGATTACATAGAGTTATTAAGTTTAGATCAATGTGCAACGATCAACCGTTGCTAACGATGTACGACTCTGAGCGAAGTTCGGTTAAGTGCGTATTGTAATGCCGTAATTTTTATAATTTTCATTCAAAAAAAAAAAATCTACATTATGCTCAATTTTTTTACGATTAAGTTAAATTTTGTATTATATTATCAAGCATTTCTGTACGGACAAAAAATTATATTTACATAAAACATAAAATAAAAAAAAATAACATAAATATACAATCGTTGAGCAGCTTGTTTCCGGAAAATATTAATACTCCTGAGATAATGAATGTCTTATTATGATAGTTTGATCATCCCGTGGTGTATAATGTATTCAAAAATATATTAAACAATTAATTTTTTTTTTTTTAAGGATATTATGTATTATAGGATAATAGGATTTACCTATTATTCGTGATCAATAGTTATTATTTTGAATTAATAAGTACATTCAGGGTCTGTAAATATCTGGAATTAGTAACTACATACTGTTTGAGCGCCCAGGAACACTATAAATCGATTGAAAAGTCGCTATACGTGCTGCAGGTGTTTTTGTTTGTATTTTTCCAAGCGATTAAAAGTTCTTTTCTTTTTAGGTGTACTACTTACCTATGCTTATGTTTATTTTAATATTACTTTCGTTTTCTTTTTCTTAACTATTTTTTTTTTTTTTTTTTGACATTCATTTATTTCTAAGAAACTCAGTTACTTTACGCTTTTTTTTGGATTAATATTTATTCCGAGTAGAAATTATAATAGGTATTATCATATTAAGTAGTCGTCTAAAGAAAAAAAGAATAATAATAATAATAAATCTATATAGATACCTCTTTGAAGTTGGAAGTACTCTTAAGAGGAGTATACCTAATACAATATTGTTATAATTATTTAAAATGTAATGTCGGAAAACTTCTACATTTAATGAATTCCGAATAACGTTGATTGTTTGGGATAAATTATTATATTTTAATTCAATTTTAAAAAGTTGTTTTTTTTTTCTGAAAATAAATTTACGTTCTTTATGGTCAAGACGATAGAGTCAAAACAAAAACCGTCACTTACAGTTATTCAAGCACTTGCAGCAATATTACAAAACTGCTCGTGAATCGTGACCGAGTAACATTTATAAATTTTAATTATTGTGAAATTTTTTATTGTGAGGTATAGCCACGTTTGACTGGCAAGGTAAATTGGATAAGCATTTAAATTTGTCATGTTTTTTGTTTTACATAGGGCTACACCGGATCTACGGGACCGCGAGGATTCAAAGGTAAACGAAAATTTGTAATTTTTATCGACATCTACTAAATAATATTACTTTCTAATTTACCTAATTTACCTTCTAATTACCTACAATTTATAAACTTGTAATTTGATTACATTTTTTTTATAATTCTATCGGATTTTACATAAAACGCGATTTTCTATAAATTAATTAATTTTTAATAATATTTGATTTAATCTATTTTATTAGACAGAAATTCAAAACCGAACCGTAAATCCTTAATAACTTACCAAAGTTAGTTTTAACATGAAAGTCTTTAGAACATTACAGAATGAAACATTAGCATAAATATTTTAAAACTGCAATGTCCCGTTGTATATGACCATCCTATATGTTATCTATGTTTTTGTAATAATTAATATCGTCCGGTAAATTAATTAGGTAATGTAGACAATTTCAACGATAACCTGATATGGCTTTTCAAATTATAAAATTATATTATATTTACAAATTAAATTTTAAAAAAGAGCGGACGTAGCGGCTGGAATACAGGCCATAGATGGTGACTCCAACTTAAAAATTATCAAAACAATATTATTCTTTTGCGGATATTTTGAATTAATTATATTAAGAGTAACTTGAATAGTTTTTTTTTTACTTATTTAAAACCATTTATTTATTACGGTTCAAGAATTTTTACCCTTTTTAAACACATTTTTTTTATTCGATTTTCTATCTACGCCATCAATATAATAATATTTCATTCGAAAACTATTTATTTTTTTCGAATAATCACGTTCTTGAAAGTTATAAAAATTAACTTTTGAAATAAGCGAATTCTTGCAACGTTTTTGGATTATGTATTTATATATGTATGCCGCAACTAATTTTTCACAATTAAATTAATTAAAGTAATGATTCTAAATTATTATTAATATTATAAATCGGTTCGACTGTTTAATAACTAACATAATAAGTATAGTACTTTTTATAAAAATTACAGTTATAGCTAAAATAAATCTATAAGTATACTACATAGTGTATAGTTACCGTATTAAATATTAGCCAAGTATAGACGTTTTAAATTAAGATAGTTATTAAAATAATAACAGTACCATTATTATTACCCACAATCAATACAATAAACAAAATATCAAAAAACAAACGGTTTCTATTTTAATTCCATATCATTGAATATGAAATATATAATATTATTATAGGTGAGCGGGGACTCACAGGTTTCAACGGGCTCCCAGGAATACCAGGAGAAAACGCTGGTCCTGGGCCAAAAGGCGAAAAAGGTAATCGAAAAATATCAAATATATTACAGTTAAATTTATTAATTACCTATAATAATTCAATATTTTTTACTTGATAACAATTTTACTATACTGACTTTTACATACTTGTTTTTAAATAATATTCTAAACACTATAATAATATTTTTTATTTTAGGTGACAGTGGACCGCCCGGACCTCCGGGACCTCCTGGAATAGCTCCACCCGGAGTGAAAAACTCGGACAAAAGTAAAAAAACATTAATTTCCTACTTAATTTATGTACCATTATCTATTATAATTTATTATCAATACGTACGCGTATCACATTACATTATTGTCTGTGTATTATTAGGAAGAAAGTTAAACTCTAAATTTGATTTTGACGCTAGTTTAGCTTGGTTTATAAATATTATTTTAGAATTCCACTATTTTCACGTGGTTTGTGATTGTTTTTTTACATCGATCATGGAAAATATGAAAAACAATCTCTTCACTGTCAGATAGTATACATCACTTGTCAAATTTCCCTGAGAAATATAAATTATAGACTATTGAAAAATATAGACTCTTTATTGTGGCCATTATATTACATAATCTTTTCTCCGCTACAATTGGAAACTTTCAATGGTTTTTTCTTTCGATCAAAATATGTGCTCTAACTCAGAAATATGAGTTATTTTATAATGCAGTTGTATCAATATAAATTTCACCATGTTTTTTTTTTAGAATCTACACTCTTACAAAACTTCTAGATTAAGCCAGGGAAAAAATATTTTGAATATGCTTAGTGCTAACATCAATAGTGCTTTATGTGTCTTTTGAGGATTTCAACTTTCATCCCACTCTCTAAACATTTGTATGGTCAAACATCTTGTTTTAACAAAATATACCGGGTATTAGATACTCCTACGCATTAAAGTAAATAACGGGGTTATAACTATATATATGTATATAAAAAAAATACCAATACTGCTAATGGGCAAACCACTGTAGTAGATAAGAAGATGAAAACTTAAAAATGATTAACTAAAAAATATTACATTTTTCTCAACATTATTTTTAACTGTACTACACACAACTTATGAAGAAAATTGTGTACAATTTTCAAGCATTTCTGCCCGACTTCAATAATTTTATTCACATAAAACTAAAAAAACTAGAAAATATCAAATGTCTTTAAACATCTCAAATATTGCCATAATATTTTAAAAATATTACAAAGTCAATCAAATAGGTAAACATAAAATTTGTTTAGATACATCAAGTTTCTACAATTAAAACAAAATAAACCTAATCGAAAGAGTTATTTGTGTAAATATTCTCGGTTTTCTTAAGTTTCTCCCCAGTTTTTCCAGTTATTAAGCAAACTACAAGAAAAATCAATACGTTCACCAATAAGACAACATTTTTTCGTTCATAAAAGATGTTACACTAAAAATCCCGAGCAAAATTTCTGGTAGATAAACAAAATCGAAAAGAACAAAAGCTGTCCTAGGAAATTGGGACGAGTAAAACCATTGTTATAAAAAAGAAGCTAGGAAGACAGAAGAAGGGAAATTTAAATCTATATGCAACGGTTAAAAATTTCTAACGAAAGGAACGAGCGGAGTTCGGTTGATAGTGTTGCTGTTTTTCCCGTTTATTAGGAAAACTCTTGGGAAAATCAAAAATGTTCATTTTAAAGTACCGCCCCAGTCAGAATTTTCTTTCAGAAAAAGTGCTATAATTTAAAATCGGAACAAAATTTCTAATAGAAAAGTTGTCCAGAGAAAACAAAACTAAATATCAATATAAAACTAATACATTCCTCACTCCACTTAAAATCTAAAACTTTTATTACCGTGAACACTATTAATTACTGATAATCTATATGTATTTATAATCAGGATAAAAACAGATTATCATAGTATATTATAATCAATACGTTTTTTACTGTGCTGAGAATCTAAAAAATTAAATAAAGTAATGATAACAAGTGAGCCTGGGGGAAATTTCACTCTAGTAGGGGTGCTTTAATGCCAAGGGTGTTTTTTCTTTAACACACCACCTATAAAATAACCTACACATAATATTATACTCGAAATTCGGCTTTAGGCAAATGATGTTTACGTTGTCGAAGACCGGTGAATTTCGATCCCGGTAAACCTTTTGGCTGTAGGTGAATTGCGGCCCGAGTAACCTTTTGTATTTAAACAATTTTATCTCGGATATTCATATCCATAAATATAAGAACCGCATCAAAACCGGCATCTAATCTAAAGCACAGCGACGCACGATAAAAAAAGGAAAAAAAAAATAAAAAGATCGGTAAACGTCGGTCGGACAGAAAATAGTTCACTATTGGTTCGTTAGTTACACGCGTGGATTTCGTGAACAATAAAAATCAAAGTCGCTCATTGTTATTATCTACGAAGATTATAAATTCCGTTTTCAAAAAACATTTAATGATCAACGGTGTCCCCACTGTGTAAAAACCATTGTATTACGTGTCCGCAATTTGTGGGTCGAGATCTCAATTTTTTTTACGGGATATGAGCAAAACCATTAACGACAATGAAAATTCTTACGTATATATTGTTGAAGAAATAAATTAAAAATCGAGAGAAAATCACGCTATACTACGGCGTTTGGAGGCGGCGGAAATTACCCTATAACCCTCGCCCTGCAGGTTCCGCCATCGGATCCTTCGGGGTCGAAACGCCCGCACAACTACGACTACTACGTCTTCGATCCAGAGATTCGGGCCGCGATTCCGCCGACGACAACGCGAAATTTTTTCCGAACTTACCGACCCGAAACGTGTAAAACTCTAGTAATATACGTATTCTCCGGTACAAGTGCCCGGAAATCAACGTGTTATTAATTGTATAAAAAGCCACGGTACAGTCATTGCCTATCAATCGTCGTCGTCGGGCCGCCTGTTACGGCGCATATTTCTCCGTCCCCGTGGCAAGTGGCGACCGCAAAAATAATTACGACATTCTGTGTTTTGGCGAGAAAACACGGTCGGATTTCCATTAACGCGCTCGGCGTACGTGCGGCGTCGCTCTCGCGCGCATATAAACATACCATACATTGAGACCCGTTTGGAAATCGATGGCTCCCCCGTTAAGGTGCATCGCGTTCGCGACAACATTGTACAATTATCGATCTTCAATGTTTTCAGATCTACATGGATTTTTATTATTATTTTGATTTATTCAATATACGATTTATTCAGCGTCATTCAAATACGAAATCGTCATAGATGACAACGTTACCCCAATTATATTTTAAGACGCGATGCGAAATCTACAGAAGATATCAACGTGTCTACCGAATGAAAAATCTCCATAGGTATATCTCAAGTCTTAGCTACATTGATAAAATCAATTTAGACATTTAAAATAAGGAACTTCATGACTTGCACGTTCAGCGATTTCAAATAAGCAGTTTTGACTAGGTTTTTGGTTTTTGTCGTTACTCGTAGTTCCCACTATCCGGATGCGTCGTTGTCGTTTTGTTGTTAGTTGTTACTCGCTACTCAAGATAGTTCCGACTGTAGCGCTAGCGATCAGTTGGAACGGCTGATTTGTTCAGAAGACACGGGCCTCGCGATTCGGAATCGTTCGCGCGGGCCGATTTCCAACCTGCGTGTGTTTAACCGCGTCAATAACGGACGGTACGCGTACGCGCTTTTTTTTCACCGACAATATCAACGCGGACCGCCGGGCCGTGCACACAATACCTGCACGGCGCGCAACCTCCCCGACGTCGTTCTCCTGCGGCGGCACGACAATATCGTAAAGGCGAACGCGCTGCAGACGCCGCGCCGCGCCGTCGACAAAGGAGACGCGAGATTTAATTAACTCGGACCGCAACCACGGCGGCGGCCGCGGTTGTTCCTCTCGCGCGTACCGCAGTCGGAGAATGGAAAAAAATATTGTTTGAACCGCGCGTAATATTTTAAAATATTTTTTTCGCACGGCTGCGCGTGCTGTTTGTCGAGTAACAAACATTATGTTATTGTTATTATTATTATTATTATACGTGAATATTGGATGACGCCAATGTCGGGGATATATCGCAATGATCTCTCGGCGTTTCGCGGTTTAAGCCGCGGCGCATTAACCGCGTAAACAAAAAAAAAAAATCTATCGTAACGGTACAATATTATATTATTATTATCATTTTACAACTACGTTTGATGTTATACGTTTGTACGTTTTGTTTAACATAGTAACGTTTCCCCGACCGTCGTCGTTTGAAATTCTGAGCGTTATCGGTTTCGTTATTACGGCGGTGAGGTTTCTGATTTGTTCGGTACACTAAGGCGGTCCTTATTAGAGCTGAATAGGCGTTGAAAATAAATGTTAAATAATCGAATTCGCGGGCTCGAAAATTCGTTGGGTACACGGTAAAAATAATTTTTGCAGATTTTGTGCACGATAAGTAAACCTATCTTCACTTGCCTCAAAAAGGGCTGAAGTTGGTTTGTAAAAAAGGAATAATTGCTTTTTACGTTAATTTTTTTAAATACATACGAATAATATACGAAAAATTGATTAGTAACTTTATTCGGGTAAAAAAGATTTCCTACAAAATAGCTATTTTTTTAAAATTTCAACGAAACTTATTGTTATAATATGTAAAAAAATCAATTTAAATGTTGACAGGTTCAACGTTTTACATGAATCTTGTATATAAATCCCATAAACCTTTTTGAGGCAAATGAAGGGGTTCGCTTATCATACCCGAAATTTGCAAAAGATGATTTTTACTATGTATCAAGTAAAATTCTGAGCCCACGAAAAAGAATTATTTAAATTTAAAAATGAGGATCACCCTACTCTTCATTTTTCCACCGGAAATGACACTCCGATCCAAAAACGACAAATGAGGTTTTTTTGTAACGAATTTTTTTTAGTTCAAAAGCGCATTGAGAAGGTCGTTTTTTTATAATAATTACCATTACAGTTTATTGAATAATTGCGAAAAACCATTAGAAAATTGTGAAAACGTACACATTCAGTAGTTAATTTTATTTTAGATTTTGACCGCAGCTCAGCGGAGGAATGTACATCGGTTCTATTGTGGCGTGTGTTTTTTTTTTCTGTCTGTATATAACTTTTCTATCAGATATCTCGTTCCGATCAAACAGGAGAGCTTTTTTTGTATCATTTTGTGTCTATATTTGGGTCCATTGAAGTGGTCATTTTATGATTTTCCTATGATTTTCTTGTAGAAACGTAAATATCACGTAGAGACTAGACATTCTTTTCCCTGAATAAATGTATAAGCTTGTTCAAAATCCATTTTCTATCGAGGTATCGCCTATTTGGAATCTTCGGGGCTTATATATTTTTTTAATATAAAATTGTTGTAGTTTCGTAAAAACGCACGGACATTTTATTCGAGGTCCGTCATGCCTACAATAGTCGTTCGTATGGCGGTATGAAAACTCTCGAAAATCCGCAGTCGCGATTATCGTATTCCCGCAATAATACCTATATTATAATATAGGTGCAATATTATTATACAGTTATTATTTATCGAATTATATTATAGCGGACGTGGCAGTCGTGAAAGCGGTCAAAGGCGATAAAGGCTCGAAAGGAGACCGCGGCGAAAAAGGTGCTCTGGGCGGTCAGGGCTCAGGCGGAAACCCCGTAAGTATACTCTATAATAAGTAGGTATATAATTTCGTATATTATTTTGTTCATTCGGGCCGGAAACGCGTCCGTTACGTTAATGAAATAAAATACTTCCCGAGTTTTTATTATTATACGTATCTATTTTTTTATTATATTATTATTATTATTTATTTATCGCCAAACAATCGGCATGAAAGTACAAACATCTCCTCTCTCTCTCTCTCTCCGTTAAAATATTAAGAATTCAGTGTTTTAACACGTATGCGTCTTAATCGTTTACCCGGTAATGTATAGGTACTTCAACAGTATAGTATTATAAAACTATAATACTTGCTAAAAGACATTATTTAATATTTCCATTCCTTATAACAGTGTGCAATACTATATTTTTACTCGTTCGAATAACGATAATAATAATAATCGAAAAAAATAAAACCGAAAACGTATCGATTCGGTATTTTGACGACCAAATATTATCCAACAGAACGACGAAACGGGTGTGTATAAAAGTTTAATAAAATTATAATGCGGTATTACTAATAAAAAAACCTGTATACAGAGTGTCCCGCCGTGTTCGACGAATTTCTCTAGATTTGTTAACGATCAATATTTTTTAATCTCCTATTCTTTGAAGGGGACATTTTTTTAAAGAAATATTACATTTCTATTTTCATCTCCTAATTTCCAAACAAAAATAATTTAATCGGTTTACAAAATAGCCATTTTGTAAAAGGTTATTATTTTTTTTAATGATTAGAGAACGAAAATAACGATTTAACCTTTCCCTAAATAGACACCCCTCCCCCTCTCAAAGAAGAACAGTTTGAAACAAATAAAATTAAAAACAAATCTAATATTCATTATAATCGAATGTTCATTAATAGTTCGAACGCCGTGGGACACTCTGTATAAGAGCTGGTTTTCCGAATTCCGCATTACAATAAAACGTCACGTCATCGTTATATTTGTCATTTATATTTTTGACAGTGAAACCACGCACTAGGTACCCATTTTTGATTTTCAAATAGAATTTTCATAATGTACGTATTTATTAAAAATTCCATAAATAGATGAAGTTTTTTTGTTTGAACGCATTTTGGCGTTGAAATGTTTAATTTCCGCGATCTCGTTGACGAGATATTCCGTTTTTGAGTTTGGGTGAGTGAGGAGTAGATATTCAAACGACGTTGCGCCACGGAAATAACGATGCTACTCTACTACTCTTCCCCTAGCCAAATTTAAAAGTAGAATATCTCGTCAGCGGATTAACGGATATTAACGTTTCAAAAGCGGCCGGTGCGTATAGTTTCGCACTCGGAAATAAAGATGACAACAAATTAACGGCAACGGAACGTTTTATCTACCGGCTCGTTTCTTTAAAATCTCGGAAACCGTTAATATAATATACTTTTCCGAGACGATGATACGATACAGCGTGTACGTTATCGACGATCGATCGCCCCGTATATTATTATTATTAACAACAATGCGCGTGTATAATAACATAATATAGGTACTATCGTCGCGACGACGTAAATCTCTGCAAACGGTTAATTAACTAATTAATTAATTAATAATGTATTTTGCTTGTGGTTTTAGGGTCCGCCCGGTCTGACGGGACCCAAAGGTGAACCGGGAGAGCCAGGTTTGGCGGTGCCTATATCCGTCGCCGATCTTGGAAACCTCAAAGGAGATAAAGGTAAGACGAGAAACACGACGATAATAATAATAATAATAATAATATTATAATGAAGTATTTTAGTTTTAGACGATTACGTAATACCGCGCGAATACACAATAACAGTGTAATAATACTTGTACGTGCATGCACGCATATTAGCAAGTACGGGTGTAATAATAATATTGTACGCCTTATCGTGTTTATCTCCGTCGAGTTTGTAACTTTTTACCAATCCGATACATTACGACAATGATATTATATTGTAATGTTATTGAACTATTTGTTTATAATTATTGTATTGCTATTTTCCTTATCCGTTACCGAGGACCGCCTACGATATACCTACCTATACTATATACTATTCTCAAAGGGACGAACGGACATTTTTGTACGGCCGTTAATCTAACATTAAATCTGCGGCGTTATTAATTATAATAATTATTGTACATATATATTTCGAGTACTAATTATTCGAGTTATGGTGTAAGCATATACACAACATAGGTACACTAAATGCTAACAAACGGAAAAAAAAAATATTTCCGCAAAGCCCATCCCGCGATCCACCGCCGCGAAAATTTTAAATAATTACTATAATTAATATAAAAACCAAACACAACCGAGGTCTTATCACGTGGCTTGTATACGAATTGCACGTGTGTATTTACATTGCGCTTATTTATTTTAAAAGTCTGTATAAAAAGACAAATTGTCATTACATAAACGATACGACCAGACGTACCTTAGCGTGCGTTAATGTTTGAACGTTCCACTAGTGTATATTGACCGCCCCGATACATTTTACCGAGACATCACGGGGTCAATAATCACTGGCACGCCGTTCTTAAAAATACAACGGGGTTTTTATTTATTACTTTTTGTTAAAATCGAAATGCCTGTGTTTTTCCTAACTATTTAAAAAAAAATAAAACATGATTTTGTCCGGCCACACGAAATATTGGCATTGCTCCAAAATCATGAGTCGAAAGTCGGGGGTCAACTTCACGCACGCCTAGGTATAGGATAGCGACAAATTAATTTTTACGTCGCATTATAAAAGTACGAATTGTATGTCTATAGCTTTTTAGAGAAATGTGAAAATAATTTTTCAATTCGGTATTCTTTTTTTTTTTTTCAGAATTAATTTTCAAAAATTAATACTTTGTAATAATTAAAACTACACGCCGAGTATAATACTATACTATTGTTATAACAGTCCAATTACGAATTTTAATTTGACAGTTTCGTGTATACAAATACTGCAATATTATACAATGGATAACAATACAACAAATGTACATACCTAACTACTTGCGTAAAATGTATGGATATTGTGGTGCAGAATATTAAATAATAAGTGGTGACTGCAACCGAAATAAATGGCTGATGATATTACATTAAATATAAAAATACACCCAAATCCCGATTTGCATTATTATTATTACCCGAGTGCCGACTATAAATAAATTATTAATTAAAGAATAAAACATAATAATATATACTTTATATAGGTATATAATGATATTTATACTTGGAAAATAATGCGTAATATGAAATAAACTGCAATGTATAGTATATAGGTAGTGCGGTCGTTATATTACGAAATGTATACATATTTTAAGTTCGTTATAAAAAAAAAAAAAACAATAGTGATGAAACAAAACCCGGTATGAGGGTAAAATACGGTTGGGAAGGACGAAAACGGGACGGGAATATACGTCTAGGTAATAGAAGGAAAAACATGAACGCGAAAACTCTAGGAAGTGGTCCGAAAGGAACATGTCGGCGATGGATATATCAGATAGCCGGAGGACAAATAGTATTGCGGTCCTAGAGGCCGAATAAATTCGAATAATAATAATAAAAAATAAATATTATACAATGATACTTATTGTATATTTGAAAAAACAAAACCACTATTACTTCTTTATTTTGACGGTTTAAACAAAAAAATAAAAAAATACCGAAAAATTTGAATATAGTACATGTAACCCGAATGCATTTAATATGTTGCATTTTTCAAGTATACAATATTATTTTTATGCATCAACCTATTGTAACTGTAATAATATGTACAACGAAAAATTGTATTTATACCCATCTGGCCATGTATAATATGTGTATAATCTATATTATATTATTCTCAGATTCCCCGCAAATAATAGATATTTTATTTTCTGAGACATTTGACGTTAATAGTGTTATTCGGCTTTGAACAGTTTTATTAAATTGATAGAATACTGCATTGGAGAGAAAGAAAGGGACAGGGAGAGAAAAAGCTTATGTTGAAATAAATGACATATAGGAAGTAAATAAAAGTTTCGAATGTAACGGACCAATTTACGTTAACGTAAATTATTATTTCAAAAATATAATAATATATCAAACTTTATTTTTTTTTTCGCAGGGAAGGATTTTGAAACGTTGTTAAAAACGATTATTAGTCCGAATATAGTTTATAAGTATAATATTCAAGCGTATGATTTCAAAATGATTTTCATCGTGAAACAAATATAATTAATCGTTTTCCTTGTAGCGAACGTTTTAATTTTGAAATACTCGAAATTCATATTAAAAAAGGACTTCAGCTTTAACAGAATATTTTCTATGACGTGTTAAAAATGCATTAGAGTTCCTCATTAATTATAGATTTTAGATAATTTACTTGTTTTTATGTACGTTAGATGATTTTTTTTTTTTAATATTTAATTTAATTTGTATTTTATGTATTTAGGTGATATGGGCAAACGAGGTAAACGCGGAAAGCCAGGTACATAAAATATTACCGACTTGTATACGTTTAATATGGCGGCCGATGTGTAACACGTTTTTGAAATGTATGAATCCGTTTTTGTTTTATAGGTCCTGTAGGCCCACCTGGTCCGCCCGGAGAAATTGGTTTACCTGGTTTACGAGTGAGTTTAAAAAACAAACAAAAAAATATATGTGTACACATATTACGTTAGGTACCTACTAAAAAACATATAATAAATTAAAATTATGTATTTTTTTAAACGCTACTAAAAATATTAAGGACGACGTAAGTTGCATTTTAATACGATATATATTTCATTATATTTTATCGATGGCCAGTATAATATATATAATTACGATAGTTAATTAATAAATTAATTTACCGCAAAGTAGAAGCATAATATTAATCTCATTTTAGAGACATGAGAATTGCATACATTAGATACGAGTTTTTTTTAAATCACATATATGTTATGAATACAATAATTATCATTAGTTTTGTATTCTTGGATGTATGCATGTCCATACAAATGAAATACAATGTTTTAATAATATAAATGCGTACCGTTGTAGGCTTTACCAAGAGCGGGAGGACCCAAAGGTGACAAAGGAGATCCGGGACAGTCTATAGTGAGTACCGAAAATGGTATATTTTCGATTCTAAAATGCGTATTTTTTAATATTTTGATTTGGTAATGTTCGTGTTTTTATATATAATATAGAAGGGTGATAAAGGTGATCCGGGATCGCCGGGTACAGGAGGCACTTATACACCGATACCGGGACCGCCGGGACCACCGGTAAATACAATCTCAATTTAAGCGATTGTTGGCTAATTTTTTTTTTTTTTTTGTTTCAATATTATAGTAAAATAATATGTATACGCATTTCAGGGCCCTCCCGGTTTAGCGGTGGAAGGACAGAAAGGCGAACCCGGAGATCCAGGTTTTGTTTCCTCGCCACTCCGAAGTAATAACTATACATAGCTATAATATATTATATTATTTTTATTCTTTGATTTTACATTTCTTTGTTTTTTTTTTTAATATAATTTTTTACTTTCTTTAGGCGCTATAAACGATCCCATTCTCGTACCGGGAGCTATGACGTTTCCGAACAAGAAATCAATGATACATGTAATTTGAATTGTTATTCTAGTGATCCATTTATCTACAGTAATTTTCTTGGAGAATTTCAATTGAATTTGATTGCTTTTTTTCAATTATATGGAATCGTTAGTAAGCTTATTTATTTTAAATAACTAACACTGTATTCAAATGTTTACCCTTACTGGTTTTACATCGAATGAGTATAGGAACGACACTTTGAATTTTTAAATAACAAATGGATTTTCAATCCTCCTACTCCTAGATTCAAATGAAGACAATTTTCAAAAACAATAGCTTTATATGGTTTTATATAGTTTGAAAATATCGTTCAATTAAAATATGAAAGATTCCATAATGATTGAAAAAAACAAAAATCAAATTAATTTATGAAATCCTCCGAGAAGATCACCGGAAAATAAAATAAATAAAAGAAAATAAAACGTATAAAATAATCATTCTACAGTGATTGTGTAGGCTGTGGAGTGGTAATGCCTACGATTCATTTCACGTGTCACGTCTTCACAATAATATACGTGTTATGCATAGGATGCACGTGTATTAAACTAATTCAATAATTATTTGTGTTTAGGTAACGGATAGGACTCAAGTGGGTACTATTGCGTTTATTGTCGAAGAAGAAGCGCTTTTGGTACGTGTCGCGCACGGCTGGCAGTACATTTCGGTTAGTGGAATATAATATATCACGATATTAGTGAATCGAACCGTATCGATCGATTGATCATCACATATTCAAATTTTTTACAGTTGGGTTCGGTGGTGCCGGCTGGAATCGAATCCGTTCCGACAAACACCCCGATGCCGACAAGAGCGCCGTTGGAATCCTCAAATTTAGTACATAATAACCACAGTCCAGTAAAAGACAGCACGATGGTAAGGCGTAAAATATTGTTTATTTTTTCTTTTTAAATACATCGCGCGTATTATAGTCACATTTTTTAATTAAAAATAACTTCGTCCGAAATTCTTTTACGAACTTTTACAGAGTGGATTCTTTTATCACGACAAATCGATTTTCTCGGAAGATTTCAAAGTGAATTCGAATTCAAACCCACTTTAAAACAAAGATTGGAATAGAAAATGTTTGCCTGTCAAAAAAATGTCGAAATGCATAACACTAATATCGTAGATATTATGTTTACGAGATATAACTTAAAACTGTTTAAAAATTTAGACCGAAGTAATAAACTTCATATTTTCCATTTTTAGACGATAACACTATACGTCCGACGAGAAAATGGTTGAATTGTGATAAAAGAATCACCCTGTATATATAATAATAATAAAATTATGTCTGAAGTAGTAAAAAAAAATATACGCAATATTTATTTATATTATTTTCAAAGAGATTTAATAAGAATAAATTTTTTTTTTCAGTGGCATCCTAAACAGGTAAGTTGGATGAACTTGAATTTTTAATAGATTATAAAACATTTTTTTTTCAGGCGGGTACCAAATTTTAAATAATTTTACATTTTTTACTATATTCTACTTTAAATTATGTAAAAATAACTCTCATTCCGTCAATTATACTCATAATATGTTCTGACCTGTTTTTTAGGATTAACATTAGGTATCCTTTAATTCTGCTAACAGGCCAATATCGTAATACAACTTTGCGAGAAAGAGAGGTTACCAATAGTGTTAGGAGAGATAACCGATATTTTTATTTATAGGTATAAATAATGATATTATAATAACTAAAAATCACGATTTAAGACTTATAGGTAGCCCAGTGACCTATATTAATAGGTGACAGTGACTCGTATAAACTGACACTCAAAAACAGCTGTTAAAATAACTTACAGAGTTCCATAATATATTTGACAGTTACCTTCGAAGAATATAAGGTCCTACGTGATATAGCTAAACCAATATAAAATAGTGAATTGTTCTCATTTTCTAAATTTATGGCTAAACTGTGTTGTAAATGTTCCCACATGGAGCACGTTAGCAATTAATTTTTTTCGAGTATTGTAAGTATCAATATTCATGGGTTATGGTTTTAAATATCATTGGCCAACAGGGGCGTACCTGTGTGGGGGGGAGAAGGGGACATTCGCATCTCCCCATGGGTCGTATAATAATACGTGACAATATGTGAGCATTGTTATATTTTTTTTTTATTTTTTTTACAATTATTTTGGTTTTTTTTTTTTCATGAAGTTGTTAATGATATGATAATTCCAATTATTCCAATTTTTTTTCTATTCAATTTCGCAAAACTTCGTTTTTGCATACCCACAGGCTTTAAAGAGCGTTGAAAAACTCACTGAAGTGTTTAGGGGGAGAGGTTCGAGGTGACTTACTTGGTAATCCATCGTTGATGCGTAGATATTATAATACTATCATTGTTACAGTTACGGATGGCTGCTTTGAACGAACCGTACACTGGCAACATGCACGGAGTACAGAGCGTCGACTACTCATGTTACCGGCAGTCACAGAGGGCTGGTCTCCACGGCGCGTTCAAGGCGTTCCTGTCATCGCGCCTCAATAATCTAAAATCGATCGTGCACGAATCGGACAGGGGCCATCCCATATTCAACATCAAGGGCGACATGTTGTTTAACTCGTGGAACGACATATTCACCGAACACGGGACGTTCATATCTTCTCAGCCGAGAATCTACAGTTTTAGCGGCAAAAACGTGCTTACTGACTTCTCGTGGTAAGCTATGATTAGCAAAAGTTTCATCAATTGATCCGAAATCCTGATAAAAAAAAAAAAACTGATATAATTCGCACGATACGTGGCTCCATCGCGCTACTCTTGTAGGTGGGAAGTTGTGTAGGTAGGATATAGAGGGGAATTAAATTTATATCTATATGCGACAGTCAATCATTGCTAACGAAAACGATTCGGAGTGATTTCTTGTACGTGTACGTACATTTTCCATTTTCCTACGTTTTTTTCCGGTTTTCATTAATTATTATTAAAAACGAAATTGCTCACAGAAAAACAATAAACGTCATTGTAAAACCAATGCATTCCTCGCTACGCCCCGAATCGATTAAACAGTTTAAAACCTTAGAAAACAAAAATAAAACCCGTTTAATCCAGTGTAATGGATTAAATCTGGATTTTAAATCCGATTATGGTTTAATTTTCCACTCATCGCAATGAATAATTATACTACGAGAGGGAAAAAAATACACAATAGATACTGGATACTTTCCTTGAGCAAACGACACAAACCAATTTATGATTTTTGTTTAAAAATGTTAACTTATAAAATTTTTCATTGGCTTTTAAAGTTTTTAAAAATCGGGGAGCCATGGCAATTGAAGAAAATTAATATTAAGAACTTGAACATTAAAATATTGACTCCGAAGGGACGATTTCTGATACGAGTTTTTAACCCAACTATTAAATTCACGTAAAAATGGTCATTGTAGACAGTTATTTATAAACTAATTAACGATAATTCGATTTCAGTTTTGAAAAAATAATATAAATACCTATCTAATCTCGTGAGCGAGTTTTGTAATAGATAGGTACCAAAGTATTTTTTCTCGGAAATGCACCATGCGCGAGTATCATTACTATCAATGACATGAGGCGTTTTTATTTCCTCCTCCTTGAAAATACTGTATTGATACGACCATATATATTTTTAATACTCATCGCAAAAGTAAAAGCACTGTGTTGTATACATATTATAATAAGTGATCCTAGAAATGTTGAAAAACAATAACGATTCATTTCGAATGAGCCTCGTACATTGTCGTAATTATACACTCTCGTGGCGGGCCGCATTAAAAAAAAAAAACCAGAAGCTATTGTCACTCACACATATACGTTACCGCCACTGCACGCTGTTCGTCTCTGTGCATCGCCGCTTTAGTACCTACGGTTTTGTCGTTTTTCAAATGACGCGGCGCACAAAAAAAAAGAAAAAACTACTTATAATTACATGGGAAGAGGAATGATACCTTCACTTGCCGCTTCCTCACATCGCATCTCTTGTTTTAAGCATCATTTATTCCTTGCGGGGCACAATAACAGACCGACAAGCCCGTCATATCCTGGGGTCCGTGGCCAGAGGAAAGTGACAAACACAATCGACGCCGCGCGAGTATTGTTAGATAAGTCTAGTTATAGACTATATAGTATATAAATCTATTTTGGTCGGTAGTTTCGAAAAAATCCATGGTCAGCAAATACAATATTATAAATAAAGATCAAAAGACATCAGATGAATACAAAACATAAAATTATACGACCGCGACTTTGGTTATTTTTGGCCGAAACCGATCGAAATAATATAAATGCATAATACGTATCCATAGTAGTATTCGTATACTCTATTTTAGATTCTAAGCGGATTAAAATGCTATTGGTTTTACAGGTCTAGTCAAAATCGTAAAGATAATATTTTATACAATTTTCTATTAAAATTTGGGCAAAAAACGTTTAACTGCAAACTCGTCGTCTATAATTGTAGGTACCATTTAACTACGTAAACGCATTTCAACTGTATTATATCACTTGTTAAAAAGGCAGGGGCGACATATCTTCTTCGATGCCTCTTCTGGTACGGTGACACCCTAGACCATAAGTGGATAGGTATTTTTTTTTCATTGGGATATATTTTGTGAGCCACATATAGGTTCTATATATATAATAAGAAATATAAATGATCGATTCGCTCACAATATTTTTTACAATAAAATCGTTTAATATATATATATACTACACAATCTTAAAAAATGTTAAAAAAATATATTAATTAAAATTATAACAATTTTAGATTCTGAGTGAAGCGAAGAAGTTTTTCGTTTTACAAAGGTTTTCATTTTTCAATTTTAATTTTTTTTTTATCTGTAGACGACTTTTCTACAACAGATCTTGTTCCAATTTTTAAGTGTAGCACCTTTTCTAAAAAAAAATCGGTATGGGGACGTACTTTAAGAACGTCATTTTTGATTTTCCCAGGAGTTTACCAAATAAGTGGGAAAAACGTAGAAAAATAGGTACAATAATAAACAAATATTATTAAAGAAAATATATAATGCATAAATGGAATTATTTTACCATAATATGACATACGAGGTATCGTAGGTATACAAAGTGATCTATCTAAGTGAGTTCACTCATTATCTCGGAAAATATTAACTTTTTTCGGAATTTGTTTTCTAAAACGTTTAAGAAAAAAGTAGCTCTACAATTTTTTTCACCCTTATTTTTGGGGGTAAAACCACTACCTACTTTTGATTTTCAAATAGCGACCTATATTAAAAATTCCATAAATTTCATAAATGGAGTACTAAAATGAAAAATGAATTTTAGTGTTGAAATTTTTGATTTCCGTCAATCCATTAGCGAGATGTTCCACTTTTAAGTTTGGATTGTAGGAGAATAGTGGAATATCATTTGTGTGGCAGTACGGTGCACGGCGTGTTAATAACGCACCTGTCCCAATTATCCTAGGACAGCAGCTTTTTTTATTTTACTGTATGACAATGTTTATACATTTTGATCAGACCTCCCCGAAATAAAATTATGGATACCCGCTTGTAAACAGGTATCAACGTGTATTATACAGAGGCCCCTAATATAGATAATACAAATATTACAAATACGCATTAATACTGGTCAGCCGTCGGTACACAAGTATTATAAAAATTACAATTTTTTTTAATTTTTCGAGATTGGGCCATTGCAGCCTCTGAGTGTAATATTGATGGGGCCTACCGGGATTTTCCGATAGGCTTATCCACCCATGCCCAGGAAAAACATCCAACCTAGCTGTCCTACCATACTGCCATTTTTTGATTCTCATGAGCATTTTAAACATAAATTACAATTTAAGTAAAATTAATATATGTACATTATATAGTGTAACAAAGCCATGGATGCCATATTAGGTAAAATAATTATAATAGACAGCACTGTTTATCAAGTACAGATTGTGATAAAGTTAACAGTATAGAGGGTCGAAAAACTTGATGTCTGGCTTTCCCAACATTTTACCAAAAATGTCATCGCCAGTCCATATCTTTGATCTCAAGATGTAGGTCAATAAATATTGGCAGTTACTAAAATAGCATAACGGCATAACTTCTAAATGGCTAAATTGCTGTATAATAAATATGAATTATACTTGTATTGCCAAATAAATGTACATTATAATGACTTGAGAAATTTTAATTTTCAACACGTGTTAGAATATGTTATAATGTGAAAATAATTATGTCATTTAGACTAAAAATTAAAGAGAAACAAAATTTAAAAAAAAAAATGACTAAAACATTCTTCCTGAAATATTGATTCTTTAGATTTAGATATTTTATAGTCCGTGACTGTAACTCTCCTATCGCCGATATATTTCATACTTGTCAAATTTTTCTCAATTACCTATTCCTAATTGTTGTATTTATTTTCTGTGCGTTATAGGCCCCAGAAATCAGTGTGGCACGGGTCAGATTTGTCCGGCAACAGCGCGGTGGACGGCAATTGCGACGCGTGGAACTCGGAGAGCTCGGACAAACAGGGCCTGGCGTCCTCGTTGTTGACCATGGGTGGACACCGGGCTAAACTTCTCGACCAAAGTAAATCACACGACTGCCGCAACTCTTTCGTCGTTCTGTGCGTGGAAATAACGCCGCACTCGGGAACGATGTTCTCGCGAAAACGACGCAGCGGTGGCCGGCACCCCCCGTACGAAGAGGCGATGACCCGACACGAGTACGAGCGGCTCATGAATGATATCCTCGGACGTTGAAAACGACAGTACTTAATTCTGACATCCCACTTAATTTTTTATTTTTTTTTGTTAATCGCAACATTATAAGAATTTTCGTTTCGTTTTGTTTTTTTTTGCGTGTTTTTGTGTTTATTTTACGCATTTCACTTCAAAAATCACAACAATATTATCGACACCACAGTTCTGGCAATAAAATTAACCACATGAACATATTATAGACAGGTAGAGATGTATAAAACAACAAGATAGCCAACTACTTTAAATAATGTTATAACTCCCATATGAGATAGAGTTGGTTATGTATTATAAAGTCACCAGCCATCATAATATATTACTGAGAGTGTAGAATTTTATCGATAAACCCGTGAAATACCTATCTGTTTATGTCATGAATTTACTACGTTACATGGACCACCCATCATGCGAAGTATGTTCGTCTTTGTTTTTATCATATTTGATTATTATTGATGACATTATGCCTCTATATAATATCAATATGTCTAAAATATAATTTATATGAAGTACTATTAATAATTAAAGCAAATGTTAATTTTGTATAACTGTGTAATATAATTTTGATTAAACTATATTAACATTAGTTAATGGCACGAACTGACAAATGCTCTCATTGTTATAATTCAAATTTTAAAAAATAGTATTCTATAAATATTTTCCATATTATTGTTTATAATTTATGACATAAACATTTCATGGGTTAATCAATACAACATATTTTATCTTCCTAATATGAAATAATATGACGGGCAAACTTTAAATTTACTCGTGAATTCAGACATCATGTTGTTTTATAATATCTGTGATAGTAATAACCACAGAGTTTCCGACATTTTAATCTATCCCGTATGAAACAACTTCGGTATTATGCACCGCGTACCACGCAACTCACCATATCCAATCATCCCATAAACCAGATACTTCGTTCAGGAATTACATTCTCTCAACTCGCCATATCATATCCCATCCCACATATCAGATAATTTAATGTACGTCTTAGTAACTTCCTTTTAGCTCGCCATATCATAGCCCATCCTACATATCAGTTAATACAATATACATACGTTTCAGTAACTTCATTTAAACTCGCCAAATCCCATATCCCCTATCAGACACTTTGTGTTTGGTACTTAACTTCCTCTCGTAAAACGAAACGACTGCACTGATCCTCATATTATTATCGCGCCCATGACATATCCAAGTGCATATCCCAATAGACTATGCACTATCGTATCGAATCTCCCTCTTGCGACAAAAGACGACAATATATCGTATTTTGCGTACGACATTTTTCGATTCGCCCATTATATTTGAAACGGTCAGTTTGATTATTGCTAATCGTTTCACTTTTCGACAAAGTTATGCCATAATGTTCAAATAAATCCAACGAATTTTCTCTCTTTGGATCGCGATTTGTGTAATATTATATTATGCGCTTTTCGAAACGATAAGTCGACATTTTTTTTTTTATTATTATATTATTTAACCAGCTGTTTTTATTTTTTATTTTTAATATAATATTACTATCACGTCGGTCACATAATATATTATTACATATAAACGGAAATAATAATACTATTAATAGCGACATCAATAATTACTTTCGAATATTATTGATCGGTAACATGCGTATCTGTGAAAAATACTATTGTACCTACATGTATAAGTGCAATATACTATACACAAGATCATTGCCAAGGGCGTCCGTTAGGGAACGGGCGAAAGCAAGGGAGGGCATATTCCTTCGTGTCGACAAAAAACGTCAATATCGTTGAAAAATACGATTAAACATAAAGCATACACAAATTGTCCCCCTATCCCCCTACGAAGACGGACGCCCTTGATCGTCGCAGAATCGTAGTGAAACGTTTAGTTTATAGACAATTTGTATTTTATAACACACAATATTATTATTGTAATTTATATATGTGTTCAAGTATTAATATTTTACGCGATTATGTGTTTTTCTTAATTTTATTTTCAATACTATGTAATAATATTATCCATAATATATTAAATCGTTTTATACTATACAATATTAAGGATGGCGTGCAAGTACGACAAGATCGTGTTGTACCGCACGCGCGTTTATAAAACGCATTGATTTTATATAAAGACATTTTTTTGTACATTGTAAATAATATAAAAATAATTAATATTAATTTTATAAAAAAAAAAAAAAAAAAAAAATGTAAGAATTTTAAATTATCAAACGTTAATATATAGCTGTATAATATAATAATAATATTTAAGTAGATTAAACAATTTAACCTATTAAAAAATTAGGCTAGGATGGAAAAACACACTATGTTTCATCGATTAAATAAAAAGCAATACGAAAATAAATAAGGAACATAGTAAAAAAAAAATATTACACCAGTAAAATAAGAACACACAATTTTCTCTAATCGTGTACAATTTTAAAATAATTGATTTTAACGAATCAACGACACCGTTCCCTTGGTCCACCAATCTACAGCCAAAATTCATCTGAATATTAATTGAATAACATTTTTTTTTTTATGATCTTATGTAACGGTATACTAAGAAAGTTGGTAAAAAAAGAAGCTAAAATTGACATTTTTTTTTTTAAAAAAAAAAGACAATACGATTGTGTTTGAGATTGAAAAGCAGAATTCAACGCGGGCCGTAGGAAGTCTTTATATTTTCATATTTTCGATACAAAAACAATCATCTGAATCTGACCGTTACACGGCACATAAGTTCCTCCCTCTTCCCGCTTAAAGACATGTTCAACTAGGGCGGCTTGAAACATTTTATTTGGTAGTTCAAGTATAGAACAAATTAATAACCAACCCATCACACAAAAAATACATAATTACAGTATACAAAATCAAAGGTAAAAAAAACAACAAATTTTCTAGTTTTTTTAAAAAAAAATATTTGTATTTATTGATGATTGTTATATAACAAAGCTCAGTTTATGAATTTCTGTCAAATGACTCAATTCCTACCCATACCGAATGTTCGGGAATTTACTGAATCATCAAAACTATTTATTATATTCAAGCTGCCTATGTGATGTTTTTGAACAAAAATGTCTCTCTCACATAAAATAATAATAGTTACAAACATAAATTATATCTACCAAATATTTTAAAGGATTTGTTTTACAATATTTATTAAATATTCATAATAAGATATTATAATCTTAATTTATTCCATAAAATATTTTATTTTTTTTTTTCGATTCTAAATAATTATAATACTATGTCTAGTATACTTTATTGACGGTGTCTTGACTTGCATATAAATGATATAAATTCTTTGTACACGTAATATGTTATCCAGAGAAAAATGTCTAAAAATTAATAATCTATAAATCTTTTTAACCCGACTATTACCTATACTCGTACTTAATTATGTATACAGAAATACCATTGTTAAATGTGTTTATTTGTTTCAATTATAATATTACGTATAAGTGAACAGATAAGTACAATATTTTTTAAACAATACGTTATTACTCTCCCGAAGTCATTGCGCAGTAGATCGGAGAGCATTATTTTCATCTGAATCAAATGACAAATGCTTTACGTTTGGGTTAATTATTGATTGACGAGTAAATTAACATTTTCGAAATTGTCTGAGGGATGATTCGAAGCGAAAAATATGCTATAACCTTTTATCTGCAGAATATAACGACAAATAGTAATCGGTATTGACATATTTACTGTAACATCTTTGTTGACAAATAAAAACTACAAAACTAATATAAAACTTTTGTCGATCGAATATCCCCATAAACTAATGTGTTTTTTCTGAGATTTTGCACACATTTGTATTACGTCAAAACAAGTCGATTTGTAAAATTGCGAACTAATTTCAGAAAAAAAAAAATGTAAGTTAACTCAATTGACTCTTTCAATAATATAATACGGTTACTCGCTTAGTTTCAATGGTGGTGTGTTTTTTTTTTTTTTTTGGGGCGTAAATATAATACTTATTGTAATAACGCTATCATTCAAGAACTCAAAAATTAATATTTATACCGTACATGTACACGGGTTTACACCTAACTATCGTAATAACGACAATATCGTGTTTACTGCGCATTTGACAAAAAAAAAAAAAAAAAAAAATTAAATAAATTATTTGTAATTTAAGGAAACTCTACGCTATACAGATTGTTGTACGCGAAAAAACATAACAATAATGTAGTTGTCGTTTTGAATTAAAATAATATAATAAATATTCCTCGGTTTGGTGTGAAAATAATTATAGGTAGCATAGGTAGCAAAAAAAACCGGCCCGGGCCCTCTGACCCGCACGGCAGCGACCGTGATTTATTATGACTTTTTACCCGCTCGTAAGTTTGTCGTGATTTTCATATATATTTATAACGTTATTATTAATATTATATTACGTAAGTTAAGTATTTACTACCTGTTTATAGATATTAAATCTACTAGATATTGATTTATAATAATAACAATAATAATATGTCATGTGTAAAGACATTAATATAAAAAAAAAAAAAAAAACCAAATCGTATACCATTTTATGATATTTTTTTATTATGACAAGTTTCTTTCCGGTCCGTCTTACTCACGTCTTAAGGCGATTCTGATTTATCGTTCACGTCCAATTCGCCGACAACCAATTAGCCGACTACTCTTTGTTCCGGCGCGTAAGTTAATCGGTATCCGGTAATAGCGGAGAAAATATTCCAATTCACCGACAAATCGAAGTGTCGCAAAGTGCATCGCTATTTTTTTATTTTATTTTTTTTTTTTTTTGTAGGGATCTAGAATATTACAATAGACGACCAAAAGGTTCATAAAACTATACTACAGTATTGTTGTCAGCTGAGAGTTAACCGTCGTTGCGTTGTCAGTCGTTTAAGTCAGTTTGTTATCGAATAAAATACAATTTACAATTTCGTGGTTTATAATGAAAACAAACTTCGAGCATAACCTCACAACACCATAGAACTGTAATCGGCTACATAAAGTGAAAACTAAATGTCTGAATATTATACA